ATCATGGTAACAGTGGGTGGCTGCAGAGAGCAGCGGGGAAGGAAGTGATCTGCCCAGGCAGCAAATCTAAGCAGAGGAGACGGAGCCATCCTGAAGGCACCAGAGCAGAAACCAAAGAGATGCTGATCCCAAGCTTCCCATTACACACCATATGGATTTTAGGAATGACTTTATTAATAGGAGCACTGAAACGGGAGGGGTCACTCGCTCAGGGCAGCACCACGGCTGGGAGCGTGGGTGCTCCAGCCAGGCAGGCGCCCCACCACTGAGCCAACCAGCCCTTTTATTAGTTTTTACTTTTTGAGAGAGGGTCTCTCTAATTACCCAGGCTGGCCTCCTCTTGCCTCAGCCTCCCCAGTAGCTGGGATCCCAGGTGTGTGCCACTGCACCTGGCTGGGAAATGGGCCCTAAGTGTCAATGGTGCTTGAGTTTTTATGAAGTTTGCATTCTTTTGTAGAAAACATCAAAGCTATAATGTTAAGAGAAAGTTAAAACATAACTTGTAGAATTAAGGAAACTATATGACAAGTATGTGTGACAAGGACAAGAACATAAGAAATATTTGTCTTCCTACTCCACATCCCGCCCCCTGCTTTTGTTGTTGTTGTGGTTATTTTGTTTGGTACTGAGGGACTAGGGACTGAACCCAAGGAGCACTTTATCATGGAAACACAACCCTTTTCATTTATTTATTTATTTATTTTGGATGGGGGTGGGGTGCCCTACCTCTGAGCTACTTTTTATTTTTTATTTTGAGATGGGGTCTAAGTTGCCCTGCACCTGGCTAAGTTGCTGAGGCTGGTCTTGAACTTGTAATCCTCCTGCCTCAGCCTCCTAAACAGCTGGGATTACAGAGCATGCACCACCTCACTGGTCTCTAAATTTTTTAAATACATAAATTTAATTTCTATATAAGCTCTCAGATCATAAACTTTGTGATGCCAAATTTTACATATAATTAACCAAATATGTATGCTTGAGTGTGTGTGTGTGTGTGTGTGTGTGTGTGAATACTGAAGAGTAGGTAGTGGACATAGGTTTCATCTGGATCCCACTTTGCTACCTTCTTTCTCTCTGGGTGTCCTGTGCAAGTTAGCAACACTCTCTAAGCCTCCATTCCCTCATCGTCCATGGAGGTAAAGTAGGACCGCTCGTGGGTTGTGGTGAAGATCCCATGAGTAAATGTATGTCCAGTGGTTGGGATGGAGCCTGAAACATCTCCCTTATGGATTCTGTTGTTGCTGTGTGCAGGGCTGGGAGTGGAACCCGGGCCTCATGCTTGCTGGGCAAATGCTTTATCACTGAGCTACACCCCAACCCATCTCTTGAACTTTTTTTAAATCAAGAAAAAAGTATTTCACAGGTAGATATTCAGCATAATATTTTATAACAATTTAGATATGATCATAATGTAAAATTGGGTTGATTTTGAAGGAGCCAGGTGCCGTGGCTTGGGAGGCTAACACAGGAGGATCACGAGTTCAAAGCCAGCCTCAGCAAAAAGTGAGGTGCTAAACAATTCAGTGAGACCCTGTCTCTAAGTAAAATACAAAAAATAGGGCTGGGGATGTGGCTCTGTGGTTGAGTGCCCCTGCGTTCAATCCCTGGTTTCCCCCGCTCCCTGAAATTTTTTTTTAAGTGGTGGATCTCCTTATGCACATAAATGAGACACAATTTTAATGTCCAGAAACCTTTGAGACAAGCAGACAATTGCAGCTCACTTCTACACTAGTCTAATAAGCTGCTGTCCTCACAGGGCCGGGAAGCACACCAGGAAGAGGCTGGTAAAGGCAGGCAGGAGGAGTGGTGGTGCCCAGCTCAAGGGCAGGCTAAGAGAGAAGAAGGATGTATAATGTCCCTGTCGTCCAGTGACCTTGTGCTGTTGACCCTGGCAATCACACTCAGCCAGGCGCTAGGGGCACCAGGGCTCCTAGTAATAAGCCAGGAGGAAACTGCCCCTCACTCTGAACGGGGCTTGTAGAGGGCAACGAACAGTAGGGGATCAGGGGAGGGCCACACTGTGAGTCTCCCAGGCGGTGGGCACTGTGGCCTTTGTGGGTCCCTTCCTTCATAAATAAATAGAAAAAATATATGTTTTATTGGTATAAAGATTAATGTACTAATATTCCACCCAAGTTCATTTATCTCCTTCAGATTTTAAAGTGAATTAAACATTCGGTATGCCTCAAAAATATTATGGGCACAAGGTGTCATACCTACTGTGCCTAGTGGTAAAGGCAGTGGGGAAGGGGAAGCTCCTTAGAAACAGAGGCTTGACAAGATCCGCAGAGCCAGGGGAGGTGACGCACTCCTGTAATCCCAGCGACTCGGGAGGCTGCAGCAGGATGGCAGGAGGTCAGCCTGAGCAATTTAGACCCTGTCTCAAAATAAGATTTTAAAAAGGGCTGGGGATGTAACTCAGTGACAGAATGCCCCTGGCTTCAATCCCCAGTACCCAAACAAAACAAAAATAAAACCCAAGATGTGCTGCAATTGTATACAATGAATCAAAATGCATTCTGCTGTCATATACACCTAATTAAAATAAATAAATAAATTAATTAATTAAAATAAAATCCATAAAACAAACAAGCAGACTAATTTTGAATGGGAGACTCACAACTGACCAATGGACTTCCTCTGGGCTTCAGTTGACTTGAGGCCCAAAAGTGAATGATTTCCCCAAGGGAAACTGACTGTCCCCTAGTGCGCCCTCTGCAGGCAGAACCTGTGAACTACCAGCTTCCCAGACCCGAAAGAGCTGCTGGAGGTATTCCTACTAGGGCTACCACTCCCCAATTCCTTCAATGAAATGCAGAGAAATGGTGAACGCACACGCCAACGATTTCATTAGGCGGTTATAATTTCTTCCAGATGTGCCTGGCACGAAACTGAGTGGCTCTGATGCAGCACAAAGTCAATAGTCAAAGTACTGTCTCGCATTTTGCAAACAAGAATACAATATCCTAGAAATAGGTGAAGAGTTCGCATGCTTTGGAAAAGCCAGCAAGACACCGGCAACTCAGTAGTAGTGAGCATGGGAGACATGATGACCCTAGCGACCTTAAAATCAATGCACAGAGTCGGGCTTCAACTGTACTCACCTATTCTGAGTATAGACTTGTATTTTCACTTTTATCCTCATTAAGGTTTAAGCCTTCTTGCTTTTTCTGAGTCTTAGGTCCAAGTCTAATTTCTGAAAGAAGGAAGACTGCTGTCTAAAGATGACTAATATACTCAATCCTTACAACCTTAATGGATTCCCTTTTTAAAATTATTTATGTATTTATTTGGTACTGGGGACTGAACCCAGGGGCATTTCACCACTGAGATACATCTCCAACCCTTTTTATTTTGAGACAGGGTCTCATGAAATTGCTGAGGCTGGCCTTTAATTTGTAACCCTCCGGCTTCAGCCTCTTGAGTCACTGGGATTACCAGTGTGCTCCACTGGGCCAAGCTAGGTTGATTTCCTTTTGTCAAATGGTTCCATTTACTAGTTGGTGGCCCAGCTTTAGCCTTCTTAATGGTTTTACCTAGGACACCCAGTATGGCTTTAAATACTACTGAATTTAATGTAGCAACTGTACAAAGAATTACAGGTCATTTCCTAACAAATGTGTAGGGTAGGCATTGTTGCATTCCAAACAAGAGGTCAGACATTGCTTAATTAGTCCAAGGTAAGGCAGCTCCTTAAGGATAGATTCTGAGTTTGGATCCAAGTCTGTATCCAAAGGGGATGTTTGTATATCAGGAGCATCGTCCTTCCAATGAATGTGCCTAGACACAGCCAGAAAAGCATCCAAGCAACTGAACGCTGAGCAGCATGGGCCCCTTGGAGAACCATCTCCCCAGATCCCATGTGTTCTGGAGTTGCCCCGACCTGAAAAACCAGACGGTGACCTGGCAGCTGAGACCCACACCAGCTCACCTAGGAACCAAACACAGGTCCCAGTGATACCGCCAGTTACCACTGACTAGTTCTGCTTCCTCAGATGTTGAAATATAATATTAGAGAAGCACGTCCAGGCAGGCATATAAAGCAGGGTTTACTTAAAAAGCGGTAACATAGGGCTGGAGTTGTGGCTCAGTGGTTGAGCGCTTGCCTAGGGATGCATGAGGCACTGGGTGTGATCTCCAGCATCACATAAAAAATACTAAATAAAAGTATTGTGCCCATCTACAACTAAAAAATATATGTATTTTTAAAAAGCGGGTAACATAGGCTTCTCCCTCCCCTCCCGGGAGGGAGAAGGGGGCCATAGCCGGTATCCTGGAATCCCAAGAAGTGAAGGCGGTCTGGCTTCCTTTGTTCTCTGCTCTCTTCCCCTTTTCTCTCTCTTTCTAGGCCCAGGAGATGCCCAGTGGGATGGCCAAAAGGTGGGAAGCCCTGGGCTGGAGAGGCCTAGTTGGAGTGATCTGGGCAGGAGGGGGAGTAATTTACAACTCCCTGTAGGGAGGGACAGTCCCTGGGGCAGGTTGCCCTAGCAACACGTAGGAGCAGGGGCAGGTGGTCGTGACAAGGGTGGAGGAAGGCTCTGAAGGAGTTAACACGTCAATCCCTCCGTTCTCCGGGTCCGACCCTTGCTTCCCTGCTGTCTATCTCTGGCTGCACCAGGACCGAGGTGACCGGGACCCGGGACGGGGAGAGGGTGCGGGGTTTCTCCCGCCGCAGCCGGGAGCTAGTATTTACATACAAATGAACGCCGCACCCCGGGAGAGGTGACAGCTGTCCTTTCCCGCCCCGGCCCAACCTTCCGGGTGGAAGACGCGCTGGGAGCGAAGCCTCGCGGCGATCCGGGCCAGATTCGGCCTCGGGCGCTGCGTCCGCAGCCAGAGGGTGGCGAGAGCGCTGCCCTAGCCTCGGCCCCGGCCGCCTGGTGCTCCGCAGCCCGCGCGTCCCCGCCGCCCGCTCGCTCCGCCCGCTTCCCGCGACCCTGCGCTCCTGTGCGCGCGCGCGCTTGCCTGTTCCTGCAACTGTCGCCGCTGCAGCCTGGGCCATGGCGACCAGCTTTCGGCTGCAGAGCTGCTGGGGCCCGAGCCTCGCGCGGGCGCCTCTAGGCCGCCTCCTCCGCCCCCGCGCCGGCTGCTCGGCGCCGGGCCGGGCCCAGCTCCGCAGCTACGCCGGCGGCCCGGGGGGCCTCTCTGCAGCGCTGCTGCGCACCGAAAGCTTCGTGGGCGGCCGCTGGCTCCCGGCCGCCGCCACCTTCCCCGTGTACGACCCAGCCAGTGGCGCCACGCTGGGCATGGTGGCCGACTGCGGGGTGCCCGAGGCCCGCGCCGCCGTGCACGCCGCCCACGAGGCTTTCTGCAGCTGGAAGGTGGTCTCGGTCAAGGTGAGAGTGCGCCGGGTGCAGGGGGCGAGCGCTGGCCCGGGACCGGAGCCGAGTACCGGGCTTAACTCAAAAGCGAAAACAGCCGCTACATCTCCCTCTCGCCCTCAATTTCCTGGGGTACACACTGCAGAAAGAGCAACAAGAAAGGACACAAACAAGAGATAAGTTTGGAGCATCAGTGCCAAGCGCTGTGGCGGGCGGTGGAGAATGGCCTCTGCTCTCAAGTCTCTGGGAGCTCACTGTCCAGTAGGGGAGGCAGGGCACCGGCGCGCGACCCCAGGACCAGTCTTGGTGTAGGGTGGTCGGATGAAGCAGTCCGCTTAGGCTGCCTTACAGCACCGCGGACTGGGAGACGGAGGTTTTCTCACAGTTCTGGAGGCTGGAAGTCCAAGGTCAAGGGGGCAGCCGGCTTGGTTTCTTCTGGGATCTTGCTCCCTGGCTTGCAGGTCGTATCTCTTTGTGTGATGGCATTCTAATAAGAACACCAGCCCTATTGAATTAGGGCCCACCTAGTAACCCCATGTTAAATGTTATCACCTCTTTAAAGACCTTATCTCCACATGCAGGCACGTGGTGATTAGGAGTTCAACATAATGATGGGGAGCAGACCCTTTCAGCCTGTAACATCAAGATGGACCTCACTTAGGTGTGAGACCCAAAGAACAAAAAAAGGAGCAAGTCAGGAACCTGCCTGTCCTGTTGGCAGAACAGAAGGAGGCACTTTGGCCAGTCAGGACTGCGCAAGGTTAAGAGGCCGGGAAAGAGAACCAGAGGAGGGCCCTGGGTGGTTGGGGACACAGGGTCTATTCTCAGGACTTTGGGTTTTACTCTGGGTGAGGTGGGGGCCATGGCAGGGTTTTAAGCAGAGATATGATCCGATTTAGATTTTGGAAGACGCTCTGGCCATGGTGCTGTGGGACTGAAGGAGGACAGCAGAGGAAGTGGAGACCTGTTAGGAGGTGTGCTCGCAGGTTCTGCCTTGATAATGAAATTCGGAGTCAGGCTGATTTTATAAAGAAAAGAGGTTTACTTAGCGGTTTTGGAGGCTGAAAGTCCAAGACAAGGCAGCCCCCATGGACTTGGCCTCTGGTGAGGGACTGATGGCAAATGGCAGTGCCCTAGTGGGAGCAGGTGCAGGAGCAACTGGTTACAGGTCCGGACAGGAAGCCAGAGAGAGAGATCCTGGTCCAGCTCACTCTAACCACTCTCCCTTTCAAGAACTTACCCAAGCTCCTAGGAGAAGGGCTTTGATCCCTTCTAAGGGCATGCCTCGGGTGACCTGGGGACCTTCACTAGGGCCCACCCTCTAAGGTCACCACACCGAGGACCCAGCCTCTAGCATGTGGACGACTGGGGGACCAACCACCTGTTGGTGTGATTTAGGTGCAGATGGTGACAAAACTAGACAGAATGGGGAGTGGTGACAAGTGGTGCCATCACGGATGTGTTTTGAAGGTAGAGCCAGCTGTGTTTTCCAGCAGCATATTATGGGATATAAGAGAGAGAAGGCAGTGCTGGACCCAGGACTTTGGGCCTGAGCGACTGGGAGAATGGAGTAACTTCCAGCTGAGATAGTCCAGTGTGAGATGCAGGTCGCCTGGGAGATCCCTAGGACGCGCGAGTGAGGCTGTACCCAGGCGACTGGACGTGTCACCTGGAGTTGAAACACAAGCCCTGGGCTCAGATGCATGTGTAGAAGGCACACGTGTGTGCATCGTGTATGTTCTCGGTTGGTCAGGTCCTCCTCCTACACCCTCTCGCATCATCTGGGTCTCAGAAGGGCTCTACTGTCACAGTGCCGGGTTGCAGGGAGCTCCTTCAGTCCTGTTGGTGGCGGGGCAGCCTCAGGGCCAGTGCCAGGGCCTCTGGCTGACATTGGTAGCCTCAACGTGGTGCTGAGAGGGTGGTGTCTGTTCCCTGAGGGCCCTTGGTGGTGGGAGGTGAGCAGCAGAAGCCATGGGGGACAGCAGTGATTCCCCCCCTAGCCTCTGAGGCCTTTCTTCCTGGGTCTGTTCTCCGTGATCCAGGCCTAGGAGCATCCCTGCTTCTTGAACTGGTAGTTACTGGAGGGCTTGTAGGATAATGCATTGATTTCCTACAGCTTCCTAAAAAATTTCCGTAAATTCAGAAGCTTGAAACGATACAAATTTATTCTCATGCAGGTTTTTTTTTTTTTTTTTTGTGTGTGTGTGTGTGTGTGCATGTGGTGCTGGGCCTTGTGCATGCAAGGCAAGCACTCTGCTAACTGAGCTATGTCCCCAGCCCCTCATACAGTTTTGGAAGTTAGAAGTCCAAAATGCTGGGGAGGGCTTTGTTCCTCCTGGAAGTTCCAAGGGACAATCCATTTCCCTGCCTTTCCTAGCATCTAGAAGCAGCCGGTGCACCTTGACCCATGACCTTCATCCCTCCAGCCTCTGCATCCATTGCCACATAGCGCTCTCCAACATTGACGACATTGATAGTGACCCTTCTGCCTCTCATAGTTCTCCTGACTGCAGTGAGTCCACCCAGATGGTCCGGGATAGTCTCCCCACTTCAGGGTCCTTGATCACGTCTGCAAAGCCCCTTTTGTCATGTTAGGTAACAGTCATCGTTCCAGGGACTGGGGCATGGACATCTTTGAAGGCCATCACTGTACCCCAACACAGCCAAGTACTGTTCTCGGTGCTGTGCCTGTGTTGGATTTGGTCCTTTTGGTGGCCCCCTGCAGTAGACTGATTTGTGTCGTGGGTGAGGAGATGGCTGAGAGAAGCCACAGTGCACCATCCTCGCTTCCTCCCAGTGGGGAGCTGGAGTCGGGGCCCCAGGTGCCCGTCCGTCATTCCACCTCTCAGGAACCCTGAGTCTTGCACATCCACACAGCCCCTGGCTCAGATTGTACAAACGGTCTCCATATCAGGATGGTTTAAGCTGGGATTATTCAACTTCTCACTGGTGTGTGAGTGATGTGCATCCAGTGGACACTGAACTTGGGATTTCTGAGTTGTGATCTTCTCCCAGGTAGCCATATGCAGTGGGACATTGTCTCTGATGATACTGGGCAGCAACAGTGAGTCACATTCCCCAGCAGACATGGTATTCTCCAGCACACTGTGTGGCTCTTTTCCACTTCCACTGGGTTTATGTGTAGAAAGCACAATTATAAATTGAGACACGTGTGTATTAGTTTTCTACAGCTGCTGTAACAAAAGGCTGTCAACTGGGAAGCTTAAGCAACAGACACTTAGATCTCGGGTCTGGAGGCAGGAAGTCTGAGATCAAAGTGTTGCTGAGTTCAAAGTGTTGAGGGCTGCGAGGGAGGGACTGTTCATGCCTCTCTGCTGGGCCTGTAGGTGGCCCTTTCCTGGTATCTCTTCACATCGTCCTCGTAGGTGTGTTTCTGTGCCTGTATCCAGACTTCTTTCTGTAAGGACATCGTCCTACTGGATGACCTCATTTTACCTTGAACCTCTCGTGAGACCAGTAAGGTCACTAAGGTGTGGGGGTTAGGACTCCACCACCCCTGTTTTGGGCACAGTTATTCACGGCATGCCCAGGGCGCTGCACACCACCTTCAGCTGGCTCCTGCCTGCACAGGTCCATGTGTTCAGTCTGCAGAAGTCCCCCTCCTTACAGGTCCCTCGCTTTTCCATCCTTGCCTTCTTCTGGGACTCGGCCTCAGGTCTATTCAGTAGTTTGTTTACTCAGATATTTAATCTGCTTCTGAGCCAGGCCTCCGAGGCTCTCTCACCCAGAGTAACCCGGGGCACCAGGCCTGTGGTCAACAGATTCTTCACTGGTGCTTCACGGGGGAGCGCGGGTAAGATGTAATTACTCTACTGACGCAGCTTTTGCCTCTTCTCCAGGGTTTTGTGTCTTTTACTACAATTTGAATTTTTTCCTCCTAAGATGGGGTCGTCCGTCCAGACTGGCTGGTCTGAAACTCCCAGGCTCCAGCAGCCCTCCCACCTGAACCTCTCAAGTAGCTGGGCACCTGGCCCAGCTAAAAAAATAATAATAACTTTTAAAAGTAGGAGACTGTCGCTTCGTGTGGTAAAGTTGATCTTGTTTCCCATCAACAGTGCTAGCTGTCTCCACAAGACTTTTGTGATTTATGGCTCCGAATACCTTGGGTACAACTTAATATTGTCTGTGTCGTTACCTATCAAAGAAGGGTCGATACACGTCTCCCCAAGTGTAGGGCTCTCCAGAGAAACAGCCAACAGGACCTAAACAGGGATACACGGGAAGAGAGTTACCATGAGAACTGACCTCGTGAGGGTGGAGGCCAGGGGTGCCGGGGTGAAGTTCCAGTCTAGAGGCCCGAGAAAGGGGCGTGCCTGCCCCAGGGCGGAAGATGAGGTCCCAGAGACAGTGAGTTGGCCGTTCCTTCCCCTTCTTGCTCTGTCTGGTCCTCGGTGTTGAATGTGGCCCAGGTGCATTGGTGAGGGCCGGCTTTCTTGACCGTCACCAAGTCAAATGCTCCTCTCTTCTGAACACTCACAGCTGTCCGCACCCCGCAGCCCAGCGACACTGGCCCCGGACACAGCCCCTCCCGCCCTGGCGGTGCTTCAGGAGGTCTCTGTCTTGCAGGTGACATTTCATCCCCCTCTGCCTTGCTGTGTTTCAGGAGAGGAGCTCACTGCTTCGGAAATGGTACGACCTAATGATGCAGAACAAGGGCGACCTGGCCAAGCTGATCACAGCGGAAAGCGTAAGTATAGTTCCCGCCACGGCACCGGACAGACTGTTCCGGAAAGTTCAGACTCGGCCTTTGGGGAGCCTCTCCTCCCCCCAGTGCTGCTCTGGGGCCGGAGAGCACTCGATTCCTTGTCTGCTGAGCAGAGGCCAAGTCCCTGGGCCTGGCGGGCACATCAGTAAAACAAAATTTGTATGTTCTAGTTCATTCTTTGCTGATTTGCAGAAATTGATTTTGTCGGGAGCTACGTGAATACTCCCTTTGCACCCTCCCAGGTCTTCCCTAAGTGACGGCTTTGATGTGTCCTAGATTGTGTGTGTTTCTAAGTGCACAGTAGTTCCTCCCCCGCTGTGAAGAACGATTTCACCCTGGGTTTCCCACTGAGGAGCTCTTGGAAGAAGGAAACCTTAGAAGGCGCAGTGCCAGTTCGTCCTAACTTGTAGGCACGTGGAGACCGCGCTCGCCCTGGTGGCCGGGGGCCACTCTGCTCTCTGGACTCCCCCGTCAGGGGTTTCCCAGCAACTCTGTGTGTCATCATGGGGACTTCTCACTCCCTTGCCACCTTGAAGGATTCAGGAACACCGCCTGGCACTTTTTATCAGGAGGCATGAGCGGGTCCTTTTCTGACTCGTCTAGGGGAAGCCGCTGAAGGAGGCAGAGGCAGAAGTCCTGTACTCGGCCCTCTTCCTGGAGTGGTTTTCAGAGGAAGCCCGCCGCATCTACGGAGACGTCATCTACCCCAGCGCCAAGGGCAGGCGGGCCCTGGTGCTCAAGCAGCCCCTGGGAGTGGCTGCAGTCATCACCCCGGTGAGTGAGAGGCAGGAGCAGCAGGCCGGGGCAGGTGGGGGGGCAGGTGGGGTGGGCGTGGGAAGTAGTGTTCTTCCTCCTGCCAGGTGAGCGCCTCCAGTTTGATTTCCTGGTTCCTCTGTGGGATGCGGAGGTGTGGGGCCCTCTGTGATAGGCCAGCTGTGGTGACAGGAGTGCGTGTGGGAGGGGGACGGCCTGCAGGAGGACCTGGAGGGCTTTGTGACTCAGCATGAGGGCTTCCTCTGGCCTGGCCTAGCGCCTCTGAAGAGATCTGGGAGTCAGCATTTTGTTTGCTTTTTTCTTTGGTGGTGGGGGGGTGCATTACTGGGGATTGAACTCAGGGGCACTCAACCACTTGCCCACGTCCCCAGCCCCACTTTGTATTTTATTCAGAGACAGAGTCTCACTGAGTTGCTTACACCTCACCATTGCTGAGGCTAGCTTTGAGCTTGCAATCCTCCTGCCCCAGCCTCCCAGGCTGATGGGGTTACGGACATGCGCACTTTTTAATGTGCCTTTGTTTGGAAAATTTTTGTTTAACTTGGGCTTCTCACAGTAGCAGAGCATCTGGGCACTTACTGGCAGGGTTGGAGGGCAGAGGCTGCGAAGTACGGCTCAGCGTCTGCCTGGTTGGGACCGCCACGCGCTGCCTGCATAGCAGCCCTCCCACCCCACTGTCTCAGGCCTTCTCTCCAGTACCTGCCACGGGTCAGGAGGCCACTGTCCCTTCCTGCTCAGCACAGGTGCCCGTGGGATCCTCCTTCCTACTGGGACTTTGACCTCACGGTTACTGTTTACCAGTCATGTGACCATGGGCAAGTTCTGGGACCGTTGCCTCAGTTTCCCCAAACCTGTAAATGAGGACAGCAGTAACTCTGACCTCATCCAGATGCGATAAGGATTGGATTATGGTTTTGAAGTGCTTAGAACAATAACCGACGTAGATTAACTCTATGTTTGTTTGTCAGAGTGAAATGGTTTTATAGATATGTAGATGTGTATCATAGATATCGTAGCTATCTAGATATGTAGGTGTATATTATAGATTATCATAGCTATCTAGATATGCAGATGTCTCTAGAGTCTACAAAATGTATGCAGAAGGAAGTCATAAATCATACGCCATTTTCAATATCACAACCCTAATATCTCCTGCCAAGGACCTCAGGACAAATCCAGCCTACTGCTTGTGTTTTTAAATAAAGTTTTATTGGGACACACAATGTCCATTTGTGTACATCTTCTCTTTGGTGACTTTCCTGATGCAACTGCAGAACTGAGCAGTTGGGAAAGAAACTAGATCCCACAACGTCTGAGAACCTTACTAGCCCTCTGCAGAACACACTGGTCCAGAGAGTTTTGTACTGCGTCATATTCCAAAACTGCTCCCTATCTTTATGAACCTTTCCCTCCAGGTCCCTCAGGTGGGCGGGGCCAGGTGTTCTGAGGTCACCTGGACAGCTGGAGAACAGGTTTGCTAGTCAGTTGTGCAAGGGGGTTGTTGACTGACTTCCTGCCCTGCCTTCCCCTGGACTGTCCAGGCAGCTCTCAACGTGTGCTCTGCTCTTTTGATCCCAGTGGAATTTCCCCAGCGCCATGATCACCCGGAAGGTGGGGGCCGCCCTGGCAGCTGGCTGCACCGTGGTGGTGAAACCTGCGGAAGACACGCCCTTCTCCGCTCTGGCCCTGGCCCAGGTGAGCCTCTGAGCTGAGTCCAAAGGGAGCAGGCAGAGCAGTCTGCAGCCTCCTTCTCTGCCTGTGTCTCCCACTGCGTGGTGTTTTAGTCCTCTGGAAGTCAAGTCAGATACTCTTTTTCCAAAAAAAACTAGATGGGGATTTCCTTGTACATTCAGACCATGTGTTCTTTAGGCCACCCTAAAAATGACATTTATCCATCATCTTCATTAAACGGGCACTAAAATGTAGGCATGTCTCACTTTTAGAAGAGCACATACTTTCTCTTTCTGTCTCTTGTTAGTGGGGATGGGACCCAGGGGTACTGTCCCACTGAGCCACAACCCCAGCCCCTCCCCCTCTGACATAAGCATCGTGTGTGCAGCCGTTAGGGTTAATGAGCCAATACTGACACGTCATTAACATATTCAGATTTTCTTAGTTTTCACCTCGTTCTCTTTTCCTGTTCTGGGATCCCGTTCTGGTCACCATGTGGCATTTGGATGTCCCATCTCCCTAGGCCCCTCTGGGCCTGGAGAGTCGCACTGCCTGTACCCACACTGTCAGGGCCGTGCCCGACAACGCTCCTGCCTGCTGTGTGCAGGGGCCCCTTCACGCTCCTGTCCTCGACTCTGCGGGCCAAAGATGTCTACTGGACTCTCCTCTGAATTTTCTTTCTTGGGAAAGAAATCCAAGGTTGTTTAAACAGAAGGTGGCATTGAAACTCGTTCCCTAGGAGATTTTATCTTAATGACATTTGGCAGCACATTAATACTGGCATCACTTTAGCACTATGAGTCTTATTTTAGTTCCAAATATAATTGTGGGGGCCGAGATGGAACCGAGGGCCTCACTCATCTTAAGCACGTGCTCTACCAGCAAGTTACACGCAATCCCCTCAAATATGTTTTTTTCTGTCCCAAAGATCAGCTTAAGTTTTCACAGTACCTTTAGATTAAACATCTATTTCTTTCTCTTTTCATTTTTTCCCAGTCTGATGATTTGTGGCCATGTGTTTCTGTTTCTCTGTAGCTTGCAAACGAGGCTGGGATCCCACCCGGCGTGTACAACGTGGTCCCTTGCTCTAGGTCCAAGGCCAAGGAGGTGGGGAAAGCACTCTGTACTGACCCGCTGGTGTCCAAGATCTCCTTCACAGGGTCCACGGCGACAGGAAAGGTATGCGATTCAAGTCCCAAAGAAAGAAAGTTCGTTCTAGCGTTTTCTTACGTAGCGTAAAACAGCAGCTTACCCTGAGCACTGTGTGTAGACAGGTCCTAGCTCCAATAACGTCGTGTCTGAGCGCCCCCCGGAGGCCCCTGGCCATCGTTGCATGGTCCTCCCTGTTGGGGTGCTCGTGGGCTCCAGGTCCACAGCAGCTAAGGAGCTGGACAGCAAGCTTCCCGTCACTTCCCCGACTCCTGCTTGCCAAGCGGCTGCAGGCTCTCCGGTGTGTGCTCTCCAATCCTCAGTGCTTGTTTCTTTCACAGTCTGGATTGGCGATTCCAGAAACAGGACTAATGCTGAAATGGGTGTCTTAGAACTGAACAAAGGTGGGCGCAGCCCAAGGGAACTTACAGACGTGGAAACATCTTTTAACCGTTTATTTTTTCCCCTAAATGTTGAGAAGGTCTTTCCTCAAGACAGCACGTGTGTGCCTCTGAGTACACTTTTATTTATCCTTTTATGTGTTTTCAAAAGAGAAAACTGTCAGGGCAGAACCAAAGTTGTTGGCGGTGTTTCCAGACAGTGTGCTCCACCCTCCGAGTTCACATGTGCATGAATGCGCATGCACTCCTGCGAGATGTGCCATAAACATGCACATAAACACGTAAAAATGATGCAAACCTAAGCTGAGAGTTTTTATGAAACTGGTCACTTTATAGAAAGCACGAGGAGCAGGGGTGAATAATGCCGATGGTGTAGAATTCCCAACATAAGCCATTTGTCACCCCATAAACTCACACTCAGGGGTGGCATCTTGGAATTCCATCATTCCTATCAAAACAGGAATCTCAGGTCCATAAACTGCCTGCAGACGTCACTATGAGGTGGCCGGAGAGCCGGGGACGAAGGGCTGCCAACCTCTGCCGTTCCACCCTGAGACCCAGGAGCTGGGCAGCAGCACCCACCCCTGGGGGCTTCTCCAGTGACTCAGCGACGTCGTCACCTGTCCGGACTCCAGGAAGCCTCCAAGCTGGCCAAGCCCGGCTCTGCTTCTCTTCTCCCAACACAGCCATCTGCCTCAAGTGACGCAGGGAACAGTGACAATATGGCCAAAACAATGACGGGGCTGGGTGTTGCCCACTGGTCCAGCACCGATCTGCAGTCTAGTGCCTCCCTGAAGTGACCTCACAGACCATCAGCACTAGCCCCTGGTCCTCCGGCGCAGTCTTGCTGTCCTCTGGGGCACAGGGTGACCTCTGCTGGACAAGCCTGAGCTGCGCCCACCTCCTTCTCAGGCAGCTGCCTCCCTTGGCCCTGCTGAGGGACAGCACTCAGCACCTGGCCTCTGCCACACAGAGAAGGAACAGGAGCAGTCATTGAGGGAAACGGGACTTCCCGGCTGGCCGGTGAGGTGACCCAGGCAAAGAAGGGAGCCGGACCAGTCACGTCCCTCCTGAGGAGGTCGGCAGTGGGAACCGGGCCAAGAGGACTCACTAGGAGGGGCAGGGGTTGGGGCAGTCCTGGGGGCTGTGGCCGGCCAGAGCAGGCAGCCATGCTCCGGGAGGTCGAGGCCGAGTCGGGAGAAGATGCTGTCAGAGAACTCAGAGCAAGCGATGTGGGGGACAGGCACCACGGGAAGGGCCTGTGCCCAGGGCTGGTGGAGGTGACATGGAGGCCCAATGGGGACCCCCGCAGTGAGGATCCTCATCACACTGGTGCAGATTCAGCATTTCTTAAGGATTCAAAAGGGAACTTGGGTCCGCTGACGAAGTCTGTTTGATCTTTCAACTTGTGCTGCTTGTTGGATGGCAGCTCCTGGGTGGCACGTCTGATGGCTAGAGTGGCACAGAGCAGAACCAGGGCAGGTGCAGCTGTCACACATTCTGGATTTCTACCCGGGGCCTCAGCATGCACGTCACAGGGGGCTGTGTCCGAGAGCAGCCTGGGTCTGTGAGCACCACCCATGCCCCTGAGCTGTCTCGAGCATTTCTCTTTCTCAGCTTTGACTGAACCAAGACCTATGTCTTGTCATAAAGAATTTCAACATCCTGAGCAGCTTCTCAGCCCTTGAAATCTCTTATTGGATATTGAGTCTAATCGTTGTATCTACCAAAAGCCTTACACTCGAGCATTGAGCTGACAGGTCTACAAATTTATCCTGAGGGATTAGTCACAGTGCTTTTAAGTAGCAAGGAATTGGAAATAACCTGGATGTCCAGCAGATGGGAGTGGATAAATATGCTATGGTACAACCATACAGGGGAATACTAGGCAGCCATCTAAAGGAATGTTCTGGAAACAGGCATGCTGACATGAGAAGATTTGCATAAGCAGATACTACATTGAAGGGGCCAGATGTACAGAGTTATGAACATGTTAAGAAGTTCCCTAGGTTCATGGGGAAGATAAAGCAGGTTGGAAAACTATTTCTTTTTAACCATATTCTGTGTTAAAAAAGTACGTATGCATGGATTTGGAATACATACCAAACTGTTTCCAGTGGTAATCCTTAAGTTGTGGCATTCTGGGTGGTTTTATTACCCTGTTCCTGTGTTCCGGATTTTAAGATGCAGCCGCAGCTGTGTGGCTCAGACAGCAAGACGTTAGCCCTGGACCTTGAGAGCCTGGTGCTACCTGGTCCCCGACCCCTCCTCCCCTCTATAAGTAATTATTTATAGAGCTGCTCTTGTCTTCCCCGGGCTCTTCATCAAGTACAAGCAAATAGGAACGCACACTCTCATTTCTCCCTCTCCTTGTGCGATCGTCTTTCCAGACGCGCCGCGTGCACCCTCTTTTCTTCTTGGCTGGGTGGCTTTGTAGACGAAGGCTGAGCGCCTGGCAGCTGACGGGCGCTCACCACCCTCTCCCCCGCCCGCAGGTCCTGCTGCACTATGCCGCAGACTCTGTGAAGAGGGTCTCCATGGAGCTGGGCGGCCTTGCCCCGTTCATTGTCTTCGACAGCGCCAACGTGGACCAGGCCGTGGAAGGGGCGCTGGCGTCCAAATTCAGGAACGCTGGACAGGTGAGTCCTGGGGCGTTACTCGGGGTTTGAGGGAGCAGGTGTGTGTGTTCCCCTCTGCTGCCTCCTGAATCCCACACCACTCATTCTCATTTGGTTATTCGGGAGACATTTAGGAGGCACCTTCTTCCTAGGGACTGCGCCAGGCATGGATAGTCCAAAGGGAAGGGAGGCAGGCTCTAGCTTCAAGAGCTTCCTGGACCCTGATGGTTCTTGTTCTCCTCTCTCTGCCCTTTCAACCTGATTGCTTTCATAGGTTTCCGTCCAGTGAGGGCCTGTCTTCACTTAACTGATGCAATCATCTCAGATGCGAAGCAGCCTTTAACAGCCAAGGTCTGAGGCCCAAAGTTTTATTTTTTGGTACTGGAAATTGAACCCAGGGGTGCTTAACCACTGAGCCACGGCCCCATTCCTTTTTATTATTTTTATTTTCTATTTTGAGACAAGGTCTCCCTAAGTTGCTTAGGGCCTCACTAAGTTGCTGAGGCTGGCCTTGAACTTATGATCCTCCTGCCTCAACCTCCCGAGTGGCTGGGAGTGTAGGTATGCCCCAGTGCACCCAGATAGTCCCTTAGACTTAAGAGAAAGAAGTTAGAAAAACGTCAGGACAAAACCTGGAGAAATTCACAGCCCTGCTGCCTCCAAAGACCTGCCTGGGCCTCATTCTTCCTGAGACGGGGCATCAGAGGTACCAGATGCAGGACACAGGGGCAAAGAGCCGGACTGTGCCCGGACATGTCTTGGGAGAGTGGAGGCCGAGCTCACATCGGACAGGAAACCCTGGAATCTCAGATCTGGCAGGGACCTTTCAAGTCATCTGATGTAGGTCTTGCATTTTCCAGATAAGAAACTAAAACTGGGGGTGGTGGCTGTGGCTCAGTGGTAGAGCACTTGCCTAGCATGTGTGAGGCACTGGGTTCCATCCTTAGCACCACATAAAAAAATAAAAATAAGGATATTGTGTCCACCTGCAACTAAAAAAAAATTTTTTCAAGAAAAGAAGAAGGAAACAAACTGTAAAAAGACTGGGTAACTGGAGGGTCACTGAGCCAGTGGTCCTACCCTGTCCCCTACTTCTATCCATGTAGTTGCATGGAGTCTGGCTTCTTAACAAGTACTCTTAAGCATTTGGCCTTAAAAGTATCATCAGTAAACTTGGTGCAGGGGCACACACCTGTAATCCCAGGACTCAGGAGGCTAAGGGAAGAGGATCCCAAGTGAAGGCCAGCCTTGGCCACTGTCTCGAAAAATGAACAGCACTGGGGATGTGGCACAGTGGTCGAGTGCCCTGAGCTCAAATGCCAGCATTTAAAGTAAATAAATGAGCATATATATATCTGAACATATGCATCACCAATATAAGCACTTTTAAATGTTTCTCCAGAAACAGAGTCAGGGTTCCGGAAGGTCCCGTGTGAGAATGGGTGCTGTTTGCTGCTCCCTGTGCACAGCCTGCACCTCGCTGTGGCCTTAAGCTTACCTCCCCCTTCACATGTCAGTGCAGATGTGTTCAGAGCCCGGCCGGTTCCCTCTGCAGACACAGAATGCCACCTGCCCAGCCTCCAGTGGCCTGTGCGCTTGTCTCTGGGCCCGAGCGCCCTGGGAGGTGGGCCCTGGGAAGTGGTTCCACAGCGAGGCGGCAGGCAGCAGCTGCGAGGTTCCTGGTTGGACCGACCGCTGACCAGCTGGCCCGGGGCCGGTTTTCCTCTTCCATCTAGACCTGTGTTTGCTCCAACCGATTCTTGGTGCAAAGGGGGATCCACGACTCCTTTGTCAAAAAGTTTGCCGAGGCGATGAAGATGAACCTGCGTGTGGGCAATGGATTTGAGGAGGGGACCACCCAAGGCCCGCTGATTAACGAGAAAGCAGTAGAAAAGGTGAGTCCACCTTCGTCTGTGGGAGTGACTTCTGCGCTTTCAAATCCAGAGCCTGGCTGAGCAAGTCGCCTGAGTGAGGTGGGGAGTCGGCAGTCCCACGGCTGGCGCATCCCCGGCCCTCGGCTTCTGTGGCTGTCACGATGGGGGTCCATGGATCCTGTGAGATCCACCGAGGGTCCTCCCGCCCTCCTGAGCTTTCCACCACAGAGGGGTCAGTGACTTTGTCTCCTAGGACACGCACAGGTTACTGCTGGTCTAGTGAAGGCAGTTTATCCTCGTTCAAATCCTAAAAGTGATGATTGTCATCCACTGCTGTGCCTTTTACGACTGGAGCTGCCTGGCCCCCCCTGGGTCCTGAGGTTGATGTGTCTACCCAGGGCCCTGGTTTTGGGTTTAGCTGGGTTCTGCTGGTGCTGGGATGGAACCCAGGGCCTTAAACATGCGGGGAAGTGCTCTCCACCGAGCTGCGCCCAACCCAGCACTGGGTCTCAGTGCCTCAGGTGGTGCTGATCCAGCCCTCTGGGAGCCAGCTTGGGAGTGATTTTTCCCTCAGTGAGTGTGGCGCCGTGGCCCTGGACGGTGCCGTGCACGGGGACTTCCCAGTGAGTGTGGCACCGTGGCCCTGGACGATGCTGTGCCCTGGGACTTCCCAGGACCTGTCGCAGGATTTCCATCTCAGTGGAAGGAGGCTGGGTACAAAGGGCGCTGTTCAGAAACAATCTGCGGGGCTAGGATGGAGCTCCGTGACAGAGCCCCCGGCCAGCATGCAGGGGGCCCTGGGTTCCATCACCAGCACCACAAACAATAAACAAAAATAAAGGGAAACAATGTGTCGGGTTGGCTTTGGCCGGACAGACCCTCACAGACCGTTATGGAGTAGATCCCGAGGAAAAGACTTCCATGACATTGCAGAAAAGGGCCCGGGGGGGGGGAGGGGTGGGGGGGGGGGTGGGGCCGGGTTGGTAAGCAGAGTTGTGTCCCAACTCCAATCCTGGAGCAGGCCCCGCGTGCTAATGGGCACACTGTGAGGGCGCTGCAGGACGCGCCCAGGCCTGTCTGATCTCTTCTGAATCTGAGCTGGGGGAGGGCTCCAAGGGGGCAGAGGCTGTGAGGGACCTCTGCGGGCAGCAGGCTGAGTCCGCACACGCGGGGCAGATGGAGGGACCCAGAGGCGCGTTTGGGATGTGGCCTTCTGGAGAGGAGTGGGGTAGAGGAGGGAGGGTGAAGCAGGTGGACGCACCAGGGCCCTTCTCTGGGTCGTTGCGCTCCACCCCTCCCCGCGCAAGACGGCCCCTTGGCACTTCTAAGGTCACGCAGTCTGCCCTGAGGGATGTGACTGCACTTAGAATGTGCCAGAACAAAACGAAGGTGCTGCCCAGACTGGAGCTGCACAGAGTGCGGGAAAGCCCAACCCAGGAGACTGCGGCGGAGGAGTGCGTCCCAGGTGCGGGGCGGGCAGGCGGCAGGGGCGGGCAGGCGGCCGGGGCGGGCAGGGCGTGAGGGCCTGCGCCCAGTGAGCCATTGCTCTGCAGAGCGGTCCCCGAGGGCCCGGGCGGTTCTGCTCGGCCTCTGAAGGTGAGGGGAACCGGTCACTGCTCTCTGGGGCGCAGATGTTCGTTCTAAGAGGTGGTGTCATTTGGAAGGTGTCCTCCAGCAGCCCCCCAAGCGTCCTCTTTCCCGTCACACAGGTGGAGAAGCACGTGAGCGATGCGATTTCCAAAGGGGCCACCGTGGTGATGGGCGGGAAGCGTCACCAGTTCGGAAAGAACTTCTTCGAGCCCACGCTGCTCAGCAGTGTCACCAGGGACATGCTGTGCGCTCACGAAGAGACGTTCGGGCCTCTGGCACCAGTTATCAAGTAAGACCCAGCCCGCAGGAGGCCCCGGGAGGGAAGGGAAACTGCAACCTGGGGAGAGATGGCCGAGCTAGTCAGAGGGCCAGGGGGGCCGCGGGGTGCGGGGGCCGTGAGGCCCAGAGCTGCACTGAGCAGATTGACGCGCAGGCTTCAACGTTTAAACTTAGGAAACAGAATTTACCTACTTCTTTCTGCTGAACGTCCTCCTCCTCCTCCTCCTCCTCCTCCTCCTCCTCCTCCTCCTCTTCTTTCTGTCGCTGTTGGTACTCGAGATTCAACCCAGGGGTGCTTTACTCCTGAGCTATGTCCCAGCCCTTTTTATTTTTTATTTTGAAACATGGTCTAACTAAGTTGCTTAGGGCCTTGCTAAATTGCTGAGGCTGACCTCAAATTTGTGATCCTCCTGCCTCAGCCTCCTGAGCTTCTGGGATTACAGGAGTGCACCACTGCACCCGGCCTTCCTCCTCTTCTTAATGGAGAATGTCCTCTGAGGGCTCTTCCATGGCAGTCTGTAGGGAATGGACACTCACGTGACCTCCCGTGATCTTTCACCTCATGTTGACGAGTAAATAGTGGTTGGTGTGGGTGAAATTCTGGGTTCCACACTGAACTGGCGCTCAGGCCTCTTGACCTCCACAGCTGTGGCTGAGAGACGCCCTTCTGCCCCTTCCTCCTTGAAAGGGACCCACCTTTTCTTCCTGGGGACCTGGAGGCCTTCTCCTGGCCCCTGATGCCCTCATGGGTGCTGCAGTGACTCTGGTTTGGTGCCCGGGGCTTCTTCAGGCTGCGTTCTGATGCCTTTCTTTGGTATCTGAGGTGTCTGTTCAGTCCTGCTTCTCCCTGCCTTGTCCTTCCTGTCCTGAGCCTGTGACCCACACGCCCCGACTCACTTCACTCCAGCCCTGCTGCCGCCCGCGAGGCCCCTCCCTCCGCAGGCCTGGGGTTCAGGGGCACCCCGGCTCTTCCAGCTGGTGCCCTCCGTCCCCACCTCGCCAGCCCTCTCCCCACCCGGCTCCTCCTGCCTCGCCACTCTCTCACCTGCCGCAGGTCTGTCCTTTTCTGACATTGTCACCTGCTGTCTTCTGGGGTCTTCCCTTCCCCTGGTGTCTCGTGACTTTCTCTGTGAGCTCATCTCTCGCCCCTTGCTTGGGCTGTGGTCAAAGCTCGACCTCTGTTTGTGCTCAGGCCTGGAGGCAAAGCCCCGCACCTCAGGGAGGGGGAGGACGTCTTGTGTCAAATCCCCAGTCGACACCCCTGCTCCTCGCGACCCCCCAGGGCTATTTTGCAGTTGCCTCTAATGGACCAGGGAAAGGAGCCTGCTGGCCTCTGTCTGTTTTGCACTGGCTGGTGTGCCAGCTGGGCTGGGCACTGGCTGGGTCCCTGCTGCCCCTGGGTACCTAGCAGGGACCCAGAGCCAGGCCTGCAGATGGGACCAGCTCACAGTCACAGGAGTGGGGGAGGTGCAGCCCACGCCCGCTCCCCAGGCCACGTTCTCCCCAGGCCATGTTCCCCCCAGGCCAGGTTCTCCCCAGGCCAGGTTCCCCCAGAGCTGTGCCCGGAGCCGTGCCCTGAGCTGCTGTGGAGGCGTTTTGTGAGCCCTGGTTTCTGTCCCTCCTCGGGCACTTCCAGCTTTGGCCCTCAGCCGAGCTCCCCCGGCTGTGCCGTTCTGTCCAGGGCCCGGGGTCTGTCTTCTCTCCCCCCTGCCAGCCTGTTGCCATCTTGCTCGTGAAGTTTCTCCACTGTTGGAGAAAAGGGTCACTTCCTTGTTTTAATGACGACGTTTTCCCAGGAATGAGGACTGGACGCTTTCTCAGGAACCCGGAAGGGTGCCTTGGCTACAAACGCAGGCTGTGCCACCTCCTCCCAGCACCCCCGCTGTCCGCCCCCAGGTTAACTCTTCTGGGTCAGCTGTGCCCGGCCACCAGCCCTGCAGAGACTGCGGCCCGCCCCGCTGACAGACTTCTAAAATTAGAATCGGGATGCTTAGAAACTGTGGCAGTTGCAATTCTGGAGTGACAGAAAATTGCCACTCCAGTCTTGTTCCGAAATAAAACGATGGCGCTGGAGAGCCCACGGGGCCCTGACACGGCTCATCAGAGAGGAGCTGGGCCCAGCACCACGGCGAGCTCCGTGGTGACGGGTGGCAGAGCCCACTGAGAACCTGGCCTGGGTCTCTGAAGGGGGCTTTCTGCCCTGTTGGGCCTGCTTCTGCGCAGCGTGGTGGTCACCCCTCTGGGGAGCCCCCAGGCCAGGACTCCCTTCCCGTGGGACGCTGTTTGGTGGTGTTCCCTGCCTCGCTGTTTCCTTTTCTCCTACAAGAGACGAGGGTCCACTGGAGGGTGCTGGCCGTGAACGCCGAGTGGCCTCGGTGATCGCTGCCGCTCTCTGCCCTGGGGTCCCTTTGCGGAACTCGGACCCCTTGCCCTGATCTGGGAAAGAGATCGGGGTTCTTCATTCTCCCCCTAGAGTTTGCTCCTGACCGACTTTACCTCTGGCAGGTTCGACACGGAGGAGGAGGCCATCGCCATTGCCAACGCCACCGAAGTCGGGCTGGCAGGTAGGTGTCGGCCTGGTCTGCCCCGTCATTCCTGGGCTCCAGCAAATGCCACACAGTCTTAGACACCACCAGTGGGTGGGCTTCCAGAGGGAAACCTCAGCAGGGTGTGTGTGTTTTCCAAGTGGCGAGGGTGGCTTTGTGCTGCTCTCGTCTCTCTGTCCCCCGTGGCCCACATTTGGGAGCCGTGATTGGAGCTGGGGAGCAGTGGAGAGGAGACCCGTGCAGGCGTTGAGGGTGGAGGCCACACGCACCTCCAAAGTCTCGGGTTCTCAGAGGCACGATGCCCAGAAACGCCAAGCGCTCTCTCTTCGTTTGGCCCCACGCCTCAAGCCCGCACGACTAGGTGGCCTCCGACCCTGGGCATCGGCAGGAAGTGTGGTGGACAGAGAGCATCTGCAGCTGGCCTCGTGGACGGCTGTGCTCAGTCTAGACATGGCCAGGTGCCACAGCATGTCCCTGTAACCCCGGGAAAGTCAGCCTTGGCGTCCACAGTGAGGCCGAGCTTCCTGGAGGACGAGGCGCGGCGCTGCGGATGCCCCTTGTAACGGGAGGAAGAATAAGCCTCTGTGGGTCTCCTGGCCACGCCGCACCCGGGTCAGCTCCACGGTCACTGGAGCGAGGCGTCTGCCCTGGGCTTCCGGAGCACGTTCCGTCCTCCCTCTTCCCTCCCGGTGGGATGAAGGTGGGGGAAGCCTCGCCCCGAACGAGGTCAAGAACGAGGGGCAAGGTCACCGGGGCAAGGTCTCCGTGCGGTTTATGGGGGAGAGAGCCAGGCAGAGGGAACCCGGGAGGTCAGGAGCAGAGTAAGAAAGGGTGGGAGGACTTGCTGGGGAGTTCGGAGACACCGTTAGTGACGGGCCTAAGAGGTGCCGGTTCAGCCCCCCGTGTGGAGGGCTGACCACTCACCGAGGAACAGAGCCGTGTTGCATGGACGACGAGGAGGGCAGGGGGTGTGGCAGGGAGTGTGTGGCCACCTAGCCACTGTGCAGGATGGCGAGGAGAGAGAGAGCCCGGCCAGCGGGGAACAGAAGCAAAAGGCGATTTCCCGGTGCCAAGATGAGGGGGCACGGGACCCACTGGGCTTTGCCAGGGAGCGGGGAGGACTCGGGCAAACAGTGGTCAGTGGGCCTCAACTTCAGTCGTGTCTCTGATGGACGCTCCACGGGTCACCTGTGTCCTTTCATCCCGCCACAGGCTACTTTTACTCTCAGGACCCTGCCCAGATCTGGAGGGTGGCAGAGCAGCTGGAGGTGGGCATGGTTGGCGTGAACGAGGGGCTGATTTCCTCCGTGGAGTGCCCTTTCGGCGGGGTGAAGCAGTCTGGCCTGGGGCGCGAGGGCTCCAAGTACGGCATTGACGAGTACCTGGAAGTCAAGTACGTGTGCTACGGAGGCCTGTAGCTCCTCGCTTGTTGGAGATCAGTAAAGGAGGCTGACCCACACTCGGGACCTGCCCTCCATTCATTAAGTGGCTCGGCCATTAGAGTCATGACTTCTCACGCGCAGCCAGTCTTCGTGATCTTTAATCAGAGGCAACCCCCACCCTGCCATCTCCTAACGAGGGACCAACACAAGCCGCCCACCTGTGGCTGCAGACCCCAGAGAGCCAGGCCGGGGTCTGCAGAACAAGCCAGAGGACTCCACGTGACCCCTCCACCTGAGGGCAAGGCGCAGTGCCCAACAGATCCGCCCTTCGGGGACACATAGCCAACCCCCGCCTGGCAGGGGGCAGTGCTGGCTATCAGCGTGAGCCCAGAGCGCTTGCAAGGAGCCCCCGGAGTACGATCAGCAGTGGGTTGGGTCCAGTATCCCCTTCCCCAGCCAGCTGAGCACTGGAGGTACTGTGTGTCCAGAGGGGCTGCGGCCGAGGCTGGTGGGTCACCGTTGAGAGCGTTCGACTGCAGCGTGATCGCCTGTTCCACCGTGTGGCGCAGGAGCGCGTCTGTCCCAGGTCTGTGTGTAGACGGGAGCCTTCCTTGCCCCTGGTCCTGCCTCAGCTTCACGTTGCTCCCCAAGCCCACTCTGAGAGCAGGATCGGCGGAGGCGGCTCATGCAGAGGAGCCTGGCCGTCCCCTCCTGCTCCTGCCCAGGAGCACACCTGAGTCCAGGTCGGCGTCACGCAGGTCACCTGGGCCTGAGCGGAAGTGACTTGCAAGACAGGGAATGTGCAGGGTAAGCGCCGGAGCCACCTGTGAGCAGCAGCACTGCCCTGCCCTGGGCCCAGAGAGGCGCACCCACCCACCCAAGCCCAGCCCGTCTGTCCTGGTGCCGTGCACTCTTGCACTTTCAATGGGAAAAAGCACCTTCACCACCGTAATCTCGAAGGAACAGAAGGTGCCAATCCACGGTGTGGAGGAGGTGCAAGGCCTAGGATTTCAGGCACCTTTTACCTAGTAACCCCACTTGCAATTCAGCATACGAACTACCCCTCCAATTCCCTGTGACTGGTGTTGGTGCTCACTCTGAAGGGAACACTGGCCATTCCAGCTCCTTCCTCTCCTTCTCTTTATGCGTAGGGGCCCCTCAGTTCACTGGGTAGTAGCAGGGAGACATGAATGAAAACAGTGCTGGATGCAGCTGCTCCTGAGCTCCACCCAGCACCCTTCACTAAGCACAGGCAGCTGCAGCTGAGTAACCAAGTGCAGAAAGTCACTCGCACACAGGATGCTTCCAGTCCTGCAGCTGCTGCACACCTGGCTAGGGTCGTCCTTGCCATGTGCCCAACCCCAAAGGAGAATCAGAACTCTGCCTTCTAGTGACACTGCCCAGGCCTGTCAAGAGGCACGCCCAGCACGTTGACAGCTGATTTCTGCTCCTCGCTGTACAGTGTTTGGTGGTTTCATAGAACGCCCTCATTGCTTAAGATTCCTGTGCGTCCATCCTTTTTCTATTAAGAAAGCAAATGCCCTGGTGTTGTTTTTAGAAGTAGAATACCAATGCTGAAATGTCCAGAGGAGAACCTTAAAACACACTTTCAACCCTGTAAGCAGAGAGAAATTCTGAGTTTTCTTGCATATTTGGCCTGCTGGATACATAAATCGAGGCCAGAGACTCACTGTAATCTCCATGATCAATTCTGTAGTTAAATAGTTTGGGGTGGGGCTGGGGTTGTGGCTCAGAGGTAGAGCCCTGGGCTAGCATGTGTCAGGCACTGGGTTTGACCCTCAACACCTTGTAAAAAATAAGATAAAGGTATTTTTGTCCACCTACAATTAAAAAATATTTTTAAAAAATAGCTTGGGGTGCTGGGAACTTTGACTCAGTGGTAGAGCTCAGCATTAGCATGCTTGAGGCCCTGGGTTCAGTGCCCAGCACCATCAAAAGGAAAAAGAAATAACTTACTGTTAAGTAAAATGGTTCTGGGTTGCGGGATAAAAGAGAAGTGTGTGGGTTTTAGGGTTTTGTTTGTTTTGGGATGGGGTCTCACTGTGTTGCCCAGGCTGGCCTCAAACTTCAGGGCTCAAGTGATCCTCCAGCCGCAGCCTCCCAAGTAGCTAGGACTCAGGCCTGCGCCATCACGTCCATCTAAAAGTCATGTTAAATGAATGTTTTGTTAGTTTTCAGAGTCCATCAGTGGAATCTTTCTGGAGCACAGCCACAGCCGTCCTTTGTGTTGTGGTCTGTGACCTCTGGCCTGGCAGGGCTGAGCAGGAGAAGGTGGTGAGCCTAAATAGGGGCCGTCCGACCTTCCTGAATTCACAGCACCGTTGGCAGCCCCCAGGTGCCGTGGGCTTCTCTCCTGGCTCCCCTGGGTTCTCAGCAGGGACTCCCCAGCAGTTACCTCCTGACTCCAAGGCCTTGAAGGGACACCTCTGACTTCCTTCCTCCAGCTGGGCAGGTTCCCCCCTGTAAGAGCTGATCCTGTCTGTGCCTCTGTCCGTGTGGATCTTTATTTTTAAAGAGGGCTGCGTGAAAATAAAGATCAGAAGCACCACGTGGACAAGCCTATTTTACTGTGAACCGACACGTGAACTTGAACCTGAAGTTCAAGCTCTGTGGGACTCTTTCCCCTGAAGGCAGGAGGTGGTATAATTAATTACCCTCCATCAGCTAGTTCCTTAGCACTTTACTTGAATAATACTTAATGCTGTGATTGTGCCATGCTAAACTTTGTGGGCTAAAACCAGGGAGTAAGTGTTAGTGTGAAATACGTAAACCCTTTGGTTTCTAAACGTGTGCACATGACTTATTCTCTGCTTCTTGACGGCGTACGCCTCACTCTCCAGCCAGCAGACTTCATATGTGTTGCCAATAAATGCTGAATTCGCACAGCTTCCCTCGAGTGTTGAGAGGTCTGGTTGTTTGTTCAGTTCTTTCCCTTGGCAGGTCACTGTTTTTACTGGACAGTCCTGGGCCAGCGTGGATGTAGTAGATAATGCTCCTTCCCTGGAGACCGCTCTCCACTGAACCCCTGAAGGTGGGGCTTTGTGCTTAGGCATGTTTGCTGACCTGGTCTGAGAATCCCCGCGGCAAGTCAGGTGCTGCCCGGATCCGCCCGTCTGTCTTCCACACACCCCACTACCAACCACTTGTTCAACGGCTGTTTCTGGTTTGGGTTGGGGAAAGCACACGGACTCCGTGGTGTCCACATGTGACCTCTGTATGAGACTAACAGTGCCCTCGGTCTGTTTTCTGATCTAGAAACAGCACCACAGATGGGACAGATTGCATAGCTCATTTTGGCTCTGGTCCAAGTCTGGTCCAAGGTCAAGGGCTGCATTTGGTGATGGCCCTGGGGGCAGAGTTCCTGGCAGAACGGGTATGACATGACAAGTGACCTACCCAAGCTGGCTTTTAGAGCAGACGTGCAGAGCAGTCCACCCTGGAGGGCAGAGCCCCAGTCACGGGGTCCCCCTCCAGGCCTGCAGGGCCCTGCCTCAGTGTCCGGACTCAGTCCTCCCCCTGTGCACACGGCCCGCCTCCTGGAGCACTGGGGAGAGAACGTCCCCTGTGAGCTGGAGGAGCCCTTGACAACCCGCGTCAACACCCCTTCAGTTCCAGGAACGGGTGTCGACCCGCCTTCCATTGCTGAGGCAAACACCCAAGGTAACCAACGAGAGGAAGGATCTTTGGCTCACAGTTTCAGAGGCGCCCGTCCACGGTCTGGCCTGCTACTTCTGGGCAGTGGTGAGGCCGCCATTAGGGCGGCAGTGCCCAGTGGAAGGAAGCCGTTCACCACAGTGACCAGGTGCAGAGAGGGAAAGGGGCCCGGTGACTTTCCCACCAGGCCCACCTCCTAAACGCCCCCCAGATAGTGCCACAGGCTGGGGACCAAGCCTTCAGCGCGTCCTCTGGGACACACACAGAAAGCACAGTTTGATCCCCAGGGAACTGCCCAGAGCTCCTAGCAGGATCGACAGTGGCCTGGGGCCCTTTGTTTGCCCACCTGCGGTACAGCACTCACTCACCATGCATGAGGCACTGGGTTTGAGCCTCAGCACCACATAAAGTAGAATAAAGACACTGTGTTCACCTATAACTAAAAGATAAATATTACAAAAAAGACCTTTAAAAATTTGGGTGTACAGAGTATGACTCTATTTTATAGGAAACTCTAGAACATTCAAGCTAATCTGTATTGATTTCTGGGGGAGGGAGGGATTGCGAAGTCCGTAAGGAAACTTTCGGGAGTGGACATATCTGCTCATCGGCTGGACGGTCGTGTTGGATCCACAGGTGTGCACGTACTGCAGAACCTATCAGATCACAAGCCTTAAGTAAGCACAGGTTATTGCAGGAGTGTTATGCCTCAGTGCACTGTGTTTTAAAGCCACCTTTGTTACTGATCCAAGTGCAGCTTAGTATCTGCCACGGAATCTCACCACCACCCCCGGCACTGCCAGCCTTCGCCAGCAGGGGGCAGACGGCCGTCAATGGCAGCGCGGCCTCTGGCTGGGGCCCCAGCTCCTCCAGCCTGCCCCCCGGGGGTGGGAGAAGCAGGGGTCCTGCACTGCAGCCAGGGCTTTCTTGCTCTGTTTCTCTGTAGAGGGTCAGACAGTGAATATTTTAAGAGTTTGCAAACTGTTCTGCCATGACTTCTTGCCTTGTCCGTAGCACAGAGCAGCCAAAGGTTCAGGTAAGCAAATGCCGGGTGGACGTGTTCCACTGAGGGTCTCCAGACACAACCCAGCTTCATACAGTTTGCGTGATACAAAGGATTTTTTTCCCCAACTGTTTGAAAACACAAAAACCATGCCCTTGGGCTCCCAGGATGTGCAAAGACAAGCTGCCGCCCACAGTTGCTGGACGTCCTGTCCAGGGAAGCCTGGAGCCTGAAGAAAATATATTTCCCCTAAAAATAAGGCTTACAGAAGACAGGCCCCTTTATTTAATTAGCAAGACATTTAATAGTGTTACATTAGAAGGAATATCTTGTCGATACACTGGGGAGATAATGCATTTTAAAAAACAGAGTCAAGACTTAAAACCGTCCACCACAGCTTGGTCACATAGGAAAGAGGGGCTCTCGCCCTGCCCTCCTGCCAGGGAGGCGTGTCTGTCCCCATGTGCAGTGATAACTTGTCTGACCTCACTGTGTGCTTTTAAGCAGGTTCTGTTAACATGCTTAGCCTCTTCGTGCTGTGGGAGTGAATCCTCTTCTGTGGTCCTGGGGTGAGGATTTTCTCCCTTGGTTTTGCAGTGCTGGGGATTGAGTCCACGGTCCTGTGCGTGCGAGTCGAGCTGCACCCCCAGCCCTTCTCTTTATTAAACCTAATGCAGTGACTCATGAGCGTGTCACCCTGCGAGCCCTGCAGCCGCTCTCTCCCCGCTTGCCCACAGCTCCTACGGTGCTCTGCCTCCTGGGGACCCTCGTGATGAGCAGCAGGAGACGGCGTGCAGGGAGGGGGTCGTCCCACCTGGTGCTGTCTCCTCTATGAGGGATGACAGGGACCCGCTTTCTGGTCACTTCGGTGATGTTTACTTTGGTTTCCAAGTATCTTTCCAAGATTCCAAGAATCTTCTGGGTTCAAGATTCTTCTGTGGTGGAAGGGTCCCAGAGGCCAGGCTGAGATGGCGAGGACAGAAGGGGGTGGAGGGTCCCAGAGGCCGGGCTGAGATGGCGAGGACAGAAGGGGGTGGAAGGGTCCCAGAGGCCGGGCTGAGATGGCGAGGACAGAAGGGGGTGGAAGGGTCCCAGAGGCCGGGCTGAGATGGCGAGGACAGAAGGGGGTGGAAGCAGCAATGCAAGCCCCAGGGAGCAGTGGCCCCGCAAAGCTCCCGCAGGAGGGCTGGGTGGGCCAGCTGTCCCTTGGCTGTTGTCCTTGGACAAGCCCTTGATAGGACAAGGGCTTCCCATCAGTCCTAGGAGGACTTTCAGGAGGCCCAAAAGGTCCCCAGAATTTGCCCTGCAAGGCAGGACTTCTCAGTGTAGTGGAAGGTGGGCCTTGGTGTTCAGTTCCTGACCCACCACTTAATCGACTGTGGCTTTGGGCAAGACCCAGAAACGAACTTCCTGGCCTTCAAAGGGCTATCTGAACACGAGAACAGCACTGTCTCCTTCTAGGTTGGCAGCAGGGGTCCGCTGAGTACATGGACATGTGTGTCATGACACAGCAAAGGCCCCTCCCTCTGCCTGACCACACTCTGTGACATCACACTTGGACTGATGTCTCCTATGCCAGTAATTTCCAATTATGCATAAAATTAACTTAACCTGGTCACTGGGTAGGGCAGATCTAAGTTTATGATGCTGAATACTGGTGTAAAAAGCATCACATTTTCCTTATAATACTACAGATGGTATTGAACCTGCTAGTTATACAGAAAATATGAACATAAGAAATTACTACACCAAGAAATTACTGTAAAGATAAAATTACACTTCTGTACATTTTAGTTCTATTCTGCATGAAGTGTAACACAGGAGTCCCCTCTCACCCATGGTTTCACTTTCTGAGGTCAAATGCAGTCTGGAAATATTGAATAAAAAAAATTCGGAAATAAGCAATTCACACTTTTGAGTAGCATGGTGAAATGGCATGCTGCTGCTCTCCATCCAGCCTGGAAGTGAACCGCCCAGTGTCCACTGGGTCCATGCAGTATACGCTACCTGCCCATTAGTCACTGGGTAGCAGCCAACGCCAGTTGTCACAGCATCTCATTATGTATGTTAAGGTAACCCCTAGTTTAACTTAACAATGGCCCCAAGGCACAAGAATAGTGAGGCTGGCAATTTGTATATGCTAATAGAACCCACAAAATGCTTCCTTCAAGTAAAAAGTGAAAGTTCTTGACTTAGAAGGAAAAAAAAAAAAGCCCCATGCTGAGGCCACTGAGCGCTATGTCCAGGACAACCACGTCCCTGAAGCTGTGAAGAGGGCAGAGAGCTTGTGTGGTTTTGCCATCACACCTCGACCTGCAGAAGCCATGACCACCAAGTGTCAGTGCTCCATGAGGTGGAAAGGGTTAGATGGCGTGTGCGGCCACGGCAGGACTGGACACCGCGCACTCCTGCCTGAGGGTTTCAGAGGCCCTGCTTCTCCTCGGGGTGGACAGAGGCATCCCCACCTGCCGCAGGCCAGAGCCTGAGCCACAGGGTAGTGCTGGCTGTCACACTGTGCCAGTGTCACACCTTGTGCCTCCCCCCACTCCACAGACCTGCCAACGCCCCCGCCAGCCCCAGCCCAGGACCACAGGTGCTAGGGGACCTCGAGGCAACAGCCAACTCTAGGTCACGCTCTGAGTGCTGCTCTGTGGGAGGAAATGGCTGCTTAGATAAGATCGATTGGGTCCAAAAACTATTTAACAAGTATCACTTTTAAGCATATGAAGTGGATATAGGTCCGGTTATTATGGAAAGTGCCTCAGGGGCCCAGATCCTCAGCACCCTGCCACCTGCATGAAGACTGACCGGATTTCAGGACCTTGGCTCACGGGTCACGGAGCGGTTACCGCCATCTGGGGCAGTCCAAATGCCCGGCCCGCGGTGAGACTCAATGTTCAGTGAATTGGTGATTCCACTGTGGTGGGTGGCTATGGACAGGTGAGAGAGGCTCAGCGTCGGCTCTCTCTCAGAGAAGGAAGAGACGATGTTACATGCTACCTTGGATGTCCGGCCTCCCCTTTCCCTTTCCTCAGCTCCTGAGCTTCTGCCAGCCACCGAACGCTCTCTAAGGTTCTACAGACACACACAGGTGTGAAGCTTCACCTGGACATGAGCATCAGCACAGGGCCAGCTTTGGAAACACACAACTCTCACCCGCGCGTAGCCTGGGAATTCACCCGGCCTTCAGGCCCGCTAACGAGCCTCCCGGTCAGAAGAGCAAGGTTCCATTTTCAACCCCAAGAAACCCGGCCTCTTCCTACAGAAGCCCACCAGGCCCCTGGGAGAGGTGTCAGTGTGCAGGGCAAGTGGGCTTCCTGTTCCAGGCCACAGTGGTCCTGCACACAGGGTCCCACGGGGTCCTCCATCTCCGGCTGCTGCACTATCTGTCCTTGGAGCAGTAGCTGAAGGAAGCCCCGTTCCTGACGGAGCCGGTCCTGGACGCCCGGGGATGCCCTCTCTCCATCCCTTCCCGGCTGAAGACGGTGTCCTGCTCACTGTCAAACTCGGACTCGGACACCATCAGGCTGGAGTTGTGCTCCGTGCTCCGGTGCTTGATGCCTAGGGAGAAGCAGCACAGGCTCAGGGAGCAGCACCCCTCCTAGGAGGAGCCCTGTTCTTCACATTCAGCTCCACTATTCTGGGTGCAGGCTCAGGAGGAGCGTAGATGTGTCCCCTGAACCTGCAGCCGAGCAAGTGGCTTGGGGTTCCTAGTGATCAGCAATAGGGACCTTGCTGTCACACCTGAACTTGAGCCCCAGCTTTGGCAACTCCCAGCTGTGTGACCCTGGGCAAGGTACCCAGGCTCTCTGGGCTTTCATTCTCCTCATCTATCAATTGGGTTTATGGTGAGGATCAAGTGAGATAGTGCTGTGAATGTCTAGGCCCAGCATTCCCATTCCACAGAGTGAGCACTCAGTGAGAGCCGTCACGACGACTGTATAAGTTCAACAGATTTGAGTTCTTGGGGTTAACATAGGGGCAGAACAGGAAGGAGAGTGATCCCTGCTCTCAGAGAACGAACAGACATAGACAGGTGAGCGGACAGCGTGACAGGCAAGAAATAAACACCGACCTGAATCTAGAGGAGTGGCCCCCACCCCACCCCCGACTGCTCCGGGGCCTTCCATGTAGCCTGGGAGCTGGGCAAGAGGAGGATCTGGCTGGGGAGACAGAGCAGGGGCACGGACTACGGGCAGCACCCAGGACCAGACCGCGGCCAACGATTCACACAGGAAATAGCGAGTGGGAGCCGGGGCCTCCCAGGGAAGCACCGAGTTAGGGCAGGACGTGGAGTCCGGCCTCACCCCACAGCACAGGCAGACAGTGGCAAAGACACAGGCTGCGCGACAGAGGAAGAGGCCCCAGGGGACTGCAGACCAGGCTGCTGTGATCTCCACGCTACGTCCCCTCGAAACGCTCTACCCCCAAGGAGAAGGCCCTGAGAGGCAGTGCCTTGGGACGTGACAGATAGGGTCACAGTCACAATCAAGGAGGCACTGGAGAGCTCCCCTGGCACCCCCCATACACACACACACACACACACACACACACGGTGCAAGGCTACGGGGAGGGGAGAGGGTGCCTTCCGGAGGAGCTGGCCCTCACCGGCACCGAAGGTGCTGCCCACGTGCAGGAGGAACTGTGGTCTAGGGACATGTGGATGGATGAGAACTACGGGTCAGGTGCGCGGCAAGCACCCAGCACGGTTCGGCCCTTGTCATTACACAGTTCAGAGGTGAGACCGTGAGGATCCCAACGAGGGTGGAGGAGACAGCAGGAGACTGGCAGCTGGGGCTGGGGACCAGGTGAGCTCCAATGACTGAGTCCTTCACCTGGGTAAGAAGGGCCCCAGGAGGACAGAGACATCAGGGGGTGGGCGTGTTCCAAGTGGGACGGGGTGACCTCATGCAGCCAGAGGACCCTGAGCTCTTAGGTGTAGTCACTTTGGAGCACCTCCAACGTCAACTATGTAATGTAAACAGTGGGCACTCAATGAATGCACACTACTCTGTACTTGCAGTGAACCTCCTGCTGCCAAAGCCTCTGACTACACTCGGTGTACCAGGCAGTCCTGGCCTCTGCCCCAAGGCTTCCTCAGGCGCCCACAGGACTCCCAGCACCGCAGGGTCTGACCCGCACTCAGGCTGAGCTCCTGTAAAGGTAGGTGAAGGTTCACTTCCCTCCCTCCCCAGGGAACCCGGGGACTGTGCAGGGGGCAGGCACTCAGCACCGAGAGTGGGCAGCGTTCTGCATTTCTTGACCTTGAAAGTGAGTATGTCCCTGTGTGAGCAAGAATTTAGCTGCAAAGCCAGCGTCATGGCAGATCCACAGACGCCCGGCTGAGCAGCCGCAGAGGCCAGAGAGGACACATGAAGCAGGCCACAGTGAATACTGAGCTCCCAAAGCCAACTGAGGCGGGCAGGAGAGGCCCACGCGCAGGGCGCCCTGAGTGGAGCTAGTGCAGCTGCCGGAGAGTGCAGGCTAGTGAGGTCTAAGTGTCCTTTTGCTGCATTTCTGGTCTGGCAGGCCGACAGTGACGAGCGTTCACACAGGAGCTGGGGACACTGTGTCGTGCGCCCTGCCACCCTGCCACCACAGGGAACAGAGCCAGGCACTGGGTGCCAAGGAGCCTTGCCCTGGGGTCACTGGGCAGAGCTAACTGATGACAGACACTTCACATCCCTCACCATCGAGGCCTCAGGCTCTCTGCCAAGATGGCACTACTCTAAGACCACAGTGCTCCCGTTGGCAGGTCCCCAGGACCGAGGCGCTGGCTGTCATCGCAGGCTGCGTCCCACTCTTCCTACCTAACTGAGCGCGGACTCGGCTTACTCCTCCCCTAAGCCCAGTGTCCCTCCCTGGCAGACACCCTGGGGAGGCCGCGGCTTCTTACTGTATCTGGGCCTCAGCTCCATTCTCTCCTGTTCGTCCATGTTGTCCAGGATGGTGTACTTCGTTTTCTTCCTGATTTTAGTCCTTTTTTGTCTGAAAGGAACAATGAAAAGTTCAACCCAGATGGGTCACTGGGACCCAGGGTTGGGGACACTGAGGAGAAGACACTGAGGAGGTGTTTGGCCTCTGGTGTGTAGGAGTTGACACTTCAGCTCCTCACTGAGAGACCCAGGTGGGGCCGGAGCCCAGCAGGGCTGGCACGTGCCTCGCAGAAGCCCCCTGCAGAGAGCAGCAGGAGAATGGGCCAGGAGTGGGACAGCCACGGCCCTGGGCCTCTAGCCAAGGGCTCTGAGGGACGGAGCCCCGAGAGCGGCCCCCAGAACCATGTGTGCAGGGAGCTTTTCCTTACTGAGGAAAGAAGCCTGGTAAGCAAGCTTCCCCCAAAGCCTCAGCACCCCGGAATGTCAAAGATGCAGGAATCAAACTGGCAATCAGAGAAGGAAAGACAGCAGAGATTATACTACAGGACGTTCCCAAGTTCAGTTGTTGCTTTAGCAACGAGTCAGACATCCACTCTGTATCACAGCACGTGACAACCAGGCTGGCCCTGTGTACCTCATCCCATGCTGCAGAAGACAGTTTGAAAACACATCAAAACCATGCTAAGGTAGGTAAAGAACAAAGAGTGATCCCAACTTTCTGATCTCGAAGTGAATAAGAGATGGGCCTCTCACCCTCAGGCTAGAACCTCCTAGCTCTGGCTTTGAGAACTCTCCTAGACTTCGGTGCCTCCATGTTCTGACCTGTAAAATGGGGGCAAGGATGGTCCCTTTCTTCTCTGGTTGCTGGGAGCACTACACAAGATGACACGAGATGACACGAGACAGGCCTTGGCCATGTCACCACCCTCCCCGTCTGCTGGGTATGCAGGACCCAAAGCTGCGGGCCACAAGCAGCAGGGGACCCCGTCCCAGGTGGCAGCAGGAAAACCTGATGGACCTAAGCCTCTCCCTGGGGCCTGTGCTTGGCTCTCCTTCACCACCCACCATGGGACCATGAGCACAAGTAAAGCTTGAGTAGAAGTGACTTCTGAAAAGAAACTGTTAGTTTTAGTACACCTACATTTTTTTTTTTTTGGTACTAAGGATTGAAATCAGGGGTTCTCAACCACTGAGTCACATCCGCAGCACTATTTTGAATTTTATTTAGAGAGAGAGTTTCACTGAGTTGCTTAGAGCCTCGCTAGGTTGATGAGACTGACTTTGAACCTGTGATCCTCCTGTCTCAGCCTCCCCAACCACTGGGATCACAGGCGTGCGCCCACCTTAGCTCACCTACTCTTTATTACATCTTTGGAGCACATTTTTAGAGACTCATACAAAAATGGACCCTTGCTGGCTCCTAAGGACTAGATAACCACTTCCCCCTAGTCTCACAGAGGGCCGAGTGCGGGGTTCAGGGAGGTTCAGACAACAAGGCAGCCAAGGGGCTTCTGGGCACCCCATGGAGAGAAAAAAGAAAAACCAACACAGGTTCTCTTTGGTGATATTAGACTAAAAGAGATTCGGGCCCAACTTGGTGGTGCACACCTATAATCCCAGCAACTTGGGAGGCTGAGGCAGGAGGATAGAAAGTTCAAGGTCATCAGCAACTTAGCAAGGCCCTCCCTCAAGATAAAAAATAAAGAGGGTGGGGATGTGGCTCAGCGGTAAAGCGCCCTGGGTTCAATCTCTAATACCTAAAAATAAAAGGGATTCATACAGATCAGGATGTTGTTTCATGCAATAAAAACTGAAGTCTTCTTCTGGAAGTCTGTACCAGTATTCTTGTAGAACTCTTTTCTCCACTGAGACCTCTAAGGCCACCAAGGTTCTGCTCTGGGGAAGTGACATGAGCTAGCGAGGATAACACTGGATTTGATGGAGAACTTGGACCCTCCTGGAAAGTGAGAGCCTTCAGAAGGAGAAGCAGCCTCCAGTATTAATCCACTTCTGCAGGCTCCTGCACCGTGGGCCAGATGTGCATCGAATTCTTGGACTAGCTTGTCTTCATAAAAGCGACCATCAGACAGGTCAGCAACTTAAGAAACCCCAGCAAGCCACACCACGGCAAGACACGGTGCCCAGGGAGGCACCTTGGTTCGAGTGGACAGGCGCACCAGCACGTACCTGTGACAGCAGCAGATGCACAGCCACGTCACGCCTCCTGCCAGCACTAGGAGAGCGCAAGCCAGCCCCGTCACATAGAATATGCTCCACTCTGGAAAACGAGAGAGCCAGGGTGGGCGCTGTGGGCTGTTTGCACACAGCACCGCGGGGGATTCGCAGTGATTTCTGGGGCAGCGCAGAGCAACAAGGCAGAACGTCAGTAATCAACACCCAGGACGGCCCTGTTCCACCCATTGGTCCAGGGACTCACGGAGCACGTACTTCATGCTGACTAGAGAACCAAGTAACCTAAAATAACCAAATCAGCCCATTAAGTAGCATAATGTCCCTTCCACACACACTGTGGCCCATCAGCCGAGTCCCTCCAGAACCCCAAGATCACGACCCTCCCCCAAAATGGTCCTGGCGTGGTGTTAATGAAACCAAGTGCCCGTGGATGAAGACACCTTTCAGCCCGTCTTCCCTCCTCCTGTGCCCTCGCTCGTCAAGGGCTCTGCCGAGCAGTTGAGGACCAGAGGAGCCACGGGAGCCAAAGCCGAGCTGGGTTAAAGCTCTTGGGGTGAAGGTCACACGCTCTCCCTGGAATCCTGGCCCAGGTGGCGGCTCTGCATGCTTGAGCCATACGAGGCAGGATGTGATCAGGCAGTCAGCTCCGACCATTCTTTCTGCCAATCATTCCCATCAAAACCACAAATCTACTCCTAGAGGACGAGCAGTGATCGGATACGGTTTTCTCCCCAGAGCAGATGGAGGGGCCCAGCCCGGCCTGCTGAGGCCCTGGCTCCCACTGTTGGTGCCTGCCTGGAGGAAGCCCGGAGGAGTGGGCTGGGTCTCCATACTGGTCCAATTCAGGCAGGTCCCCCTGAGCTGGAGCCAAGGGAGGTGCAATCTGGAAACGTGGCCTGTGGCCACAGCAGCCCCTTCTCAGAGCTGCCGGCCAGGGTTGGCAAGCAGGCTCTGCCGCAGAGCACTCCTCCCGGGGAGGTTTTATGCATAAGCCAGAAGGCAGTCCTGGGGAGGACTCTGGGATAGGACGATGGCCCTGCAGCTCCTTGCCACGGCCACCTGGACGCCAGGACTCACCACAGTTGCTCTCCCCATCGCGGACATAGCGCTGGATCAGGTTCTCCATCCACAGCTGGGAGCAGACGCAGCGCTTGGTGATGGGGTCGCAGCGGCCGTGGCCAGAACACTCCAGAAGGCAGCCTGCAAGGGGCAGGGAGCTGAGGGCCGCAGGGAAGGGCCTGGCTTCCCTGCTCCGCACCCAGCAGCAAGGCCCTGAGCACTTGTGTGGTGTTGGACCGAGGACCTGCGACCTCCTCATCAGGAAGCAAATGACAGAGAAGCCACACCATACAGCAAACGCCTTCAAACCCAGCAAACACGTGCCACCTCTGGCCCAGGAAAGCGGATTCTGAGAATGCACCCAGTGAGACTGACTGGGAATGTGCACAGAGCTCTTGTGTGAATGTCACAGAGCTCCTTGGATACAATATCTGCATTGTAACATTACTGAAAATCAATCCTAAAGTCCGTGGATACAGGGCGGGTCACATGACTGCAGATCATGCCCAGGGAGGCACGCCACACAGCCACCAGCATCTCCCTAACGGGAAGCTTAAAGGAGTTAGTTGAGAAAATGATCATATATGAAGTTAAAAGCACAGTTAAAATAGACGACAGGGGCTAGGGGTGCGGCTCATGGTGCGGCTCGTGGTAGAGCGCTGCCTAGCATGAGTGAGGCCCAGGTTCAATCCCCAGGTCTCAAAAAAAGACAGACATCAAATCATCCTGATTGTATTACATGTTCACAGAGATGGAGCAACTGGAGAGAAATACCAGAATATTAATGAGTCATCTCTGACTGGTGTGAATTCTAGGCTTCACCATCTGGAAGATTCTTTCCTCCTCGGTATCTTCTGGATAGTCCAGATTTCCCACAACTATAAATATTACTTTTGTAGCCAGAAAAAAAGATTTTTTACATCAAGTTACTCTACATTATAATGGAAAAAGTCAATAATATTTTATCGGAGAATTTGTTGGAAATAAATTTATTGGAATTAAATTTTGTTGCCCAAATGTTATCATGTCCCTTGTGACCCTCACAGAAATGACCACTTCAGCGTGATGTGCATTCATATTGCTCATGAGATGAAGACAGGACTGTGGACTGTGGACCAGTGGGTGTCCTGGAGGGTGGCCAGCAGGCACTGAGAGCAGGGTCCACGTGGGAGGCACATTGAAGCTGTGTCGCGGGCAGGCACAGTGGCACATGCCTGCATCCTGACACTTGGGAGACGGAGGCAAGGGGACAGTGTGAGCCCCGGAGTTTAAGACCAGCCTGGACAACACAGAGGACCCTGTCTCAAAAAAAAAAAAAACAGAGAGAGACCCTGCCTGTTGTTGCTCTCTGTCTCCTTCTAAGACACGGCTGTGGGCAAATGTGTGCTGCAGGAAACACCCCTGAGAAGTAAGTGCAGAACAAGTCCCTGGGTGTCCCCATCCACTCCTCTCCCTGTGCCTGCAAGCCATATCGTATCCACCACACCGGCAAGTCTGATTCTTTTAGAAGATTCCAGAACGCAACATACCTGCTGTGTCCACCCTCAAGACCTTGAAAAGCAAGAAGTCGGCCCTCTCCCGTGACAGCCGCCTGTGCAGGGCTCGGGCCACGTCGGCGGCTCTGAGGACCTGGGCGGGAGGCCCGCTCTGCACATAGAACACGAGCATGGTGCTGCAGAGGAGACACGGGAGCACAGCCACACGTACGTGTCAGGCAGGGCCATGGGGCACGGCCAGCCTGGCCACCGGCCTGTGCTGTCGGGAGCTGGGCGGAGAGGCAGGCTTGCCTGTGGCCAGGAATTGCTTCTCTTCATAAATAAAGGCCCTTAGGTCTCCAAGCACAGCTGAGAGAGGCCTCACCGGGGAGCCCGATGCACAGGTGCAAGCAGACACAGCACACGCGAGGAGACGGCCTTCTCCCCTCCTTTGTTTCTGGTGCTGGATTGAACCCTGGCCCTTGCACATGCGAAGCACATGCTCTACCCCTAAGCTAAACCCCATCCCTCTAAAGCACAACTGCAATGGCTTCCAGTACATTCACGGACTGGCACCGCCATCACCGCCGTCTAACCCAGAACAGGCTCTTCACCCTAAGAAGGTAACCCAGACCATTAGCATATTTCCCCTCTCCTCCTCCCCCACTCTGAAAACCACTGGTCCGCCTTTCTCTTTATAAGGGATTTGAGTACTCTGGACACTTGGTGTAAATGGACTCACACGATGCAGTGATCCTCTGCGTCTGGCTGTTTACTTAGCACACTGTTTTCAAAGTTCGCCGCCTTGCAGCATCTGCCGTGCGGCTCGATCGCTGTTTTATCCACTCCTCAGCTGGTGAACGTTCAGGTTTCTCCACTTTTTCTCTACTGTGACTAGGTGCTATGCACATTCATACACAGGTTTTTGTCTCTCCTGGGTGTACACCTGTGAGTGGAGTCGTCGGGTCGATGGCAGCTCTGATTGGCCTCCTTAGGAACACCAGACCTTCCACAGGGCTGTGCCATGCAGATGTTCCAGGGTACCCAAGTCCTTGCCAGCACCTGCCCTGCCCTGGTCGGCCAATGGGTGCTGAGTGGTGTCAAGGTGGGGTTTTAATTTGCATTTCCTTAGTGGCTCATGAGGAAGAGCATCTTTTCACATGCTAATGGGCCACTTGCACATCTTTAGAGAAATAACTATTCAGATCTGTTAGTTTTCCAGGAATGTTGTTAAAAAAAAAAAAAATACAACAAATTTGTCTGTATTTCTTGTCCCCTCTGTCCTGTGGCGTTCCCTGTGTACCCGTGTCTCCACTCTTCTCACGAGGACACCAGGCACATGGATTGAGAGCCACCTATCCTAATACTACCTAATCTTAAATTAACTACATACTTCTGCAACAACTCAGTTTCCCACTGAGCTGGTACCAGGGTCAGCACTTGGCTAAACCGTGTTGGGGACACAGTTCTACCACAAGTGTTTCTTTTGCGGGCACTGGGCTTCCAGTGAGTGGGCTCTCTCATCCAGCGAGGAGGTCCACGGAACATGGTAGAGGAGAGTGTGGCTGTGGAGTCGCTAATCAAGACCTTGGGAGACCAAGCAGGAAGCAGGTCTGATTTTATTGCACAGTTACCATGTACATAGACTCAGGCAGCAGCCAAGCAGATTACAGGCAGTCACCAGTGCAATGTCTGCTAACTAGCCCTGCAGCGGCCAATAGAAGAGTGGACCGTGGAGCAAGCTCAGGGACGGCCACACATGGCCTCACGCCCAGGGTGTGCCTACGGGGTAAGCGGCCTGCCGCTCACACTCTCTCTCTCTGTGCCTAGTATGAGGGCAGGGCCTGCCACTCAGACGCCCTTAATGTATGCCATGGATGAAGTACACCATGTACTTGTCCCCACATTCCAGCGCCTGCGGCTGTGGCTGGGCTTTGCGCTCTGTGCCCTCGCGTGGCCTGTCACAGGCTGGCCCTTGAGCATGGAAGCGGCCGTGATCCCCGGGCGGGGCACACTGGTCCTGGCCTATCTTTTCACCAGGGGCTGGGTTCAGTTTGGCAGTATTTTGTCACCAGTTTGTGCTTCTGCACTGGAAGGGCGGTCGGCCTACAGTTTTCTTTCCTTGTGGTGTCCTTTTCTGATTGAGGATTGGGGGAGAGCTGGCCTCACAGCACCATTGGGAAATGTTCCCCAGCTTCTATTTTGGGGGAATCTTGTGAAGTGCTGTTAACCCTTTAAACATTTTGCAGGGTTCGCTGGGAAAGCCGTCTGGTCCTGGGACATTTGGGGACCTTTGTTACTCTTCAGTCTCCACCTGTTGCACGTGGGTCTACGTAGACTTGTCAGTAAGTTTTTTTGCTGTTTATGTCCTTCTAGGGGTTTTCAGTTTCACAAGGTTCTCTGGTGGGCTGAGGAGCGTTCAGAGCATCTCTGTAAAGTCCTTTCCATTTCTGTAAGGTTGTCCCCTCCTTTATTCCGGCTTCAACAATTTGAGCCTTCTCTGGGTTTTTTCTTGGTCAAGCTTTATAAACTTTGTTGACTGGCCAAAGGAACAACTTCTGGTTTTGTTGATTTTCAGAAAAGTCTGTGACTCAGTATTTTTTGGTCTTTTTTAAGTAAGAGAAATGTATGCTGTGTTTTAGAAAGAGTTCTGTGAAAAGTAACTAGAGGGCTGGGCCTGGCACCCCATGCCTGTAATCCCAGCGACTTGGTGGGGGTGCAGGGGGGCTGTGGCAGGAGGATCTCAAGTTCAAAGCCAGCCTCATCCATTCAGCAAGGCCCTAAGCAACTTATAATGAGACCCTGTCTCAAAATTTAAAAATGTAAGAAGGCATGGGAGTGCTGGGGATGTGGCTTCGTGGTAAAGAGCCCCTGGCTCAATTCCCAGTGCCAAACATCCATCCACACCTACACACAGGACTGGGGAGGAGCTCGGGGCAGAGGCTGGCCTAGCCCGCAAGATCCTGGGCTCAATCCCCAGCACCGCAAAATCACCACAATGACAATGATAGTAGTAATAATCAGGATGTGTTTCACTGGGCACTTTTCTAAGTAAATACCAGTCCCATGGAAAACTAGCCCCAGGGGACGAGCTGGTGGAATTACTGTGCATGGTGGGATTTTCCCCCATATTCCTCTCTCCTCCCCTCCAGCCAGTCGGATAAACATTTAAAAACAAATCCCAGTGAGCCCTGCTCCTCGGGGAACGCCTCCTGTAATCCCAGCTGCTGGGGAGGCTGAGACAGGAGATCTGGAGTTCACAGCCAGCCTCAGCAACAGGGAGGTGTTCAGCATCTCAGTGAGACCCTGTCTCTAAATAAGACACAAAATAGGGCTGGGACGTGGCTCAGTGGCTGAGAGCCCCTGAGTTCAATTCCCAGTACCAAAAAAGAAGACCAAAGCAAATCCCAGGGAAACACAAAAGGCAGGAGCTCAGCCTCACACACTCCAACCCTGGGAAGAGGGAAGCTGAGAAGCTTGGGCCGCAGGAGCCCAGAGGCGCGCACAGGGAAGAAGCCCGACAGCGCCGTCCTGGCCTCCGGGGTCCGCCGCTCAGCCGACACGAGGTACCTGAGATCCGAGTGCGCCTGGATCCGCTGGACCTTGATGTCCGAGTCCAGCACGTCCAGCAGCACGGCCAGCTGCCTCACCAGGGCGTCCTTCCGCTGCTCTGTCAGCTGCCCGACCCCCACCTGCAGGATCAGCTCCACCAGGCCGCCCCTCCTCGGGTCTGGAAGGAGAGACCCCAGGGCTTTCCACCTGGAGGCATTGCCTGCGGGATCTCCACACCCGGCTTCTAGGACAGTTCTTCCAGACACCCAGAGGCCGCTATGGGGAGTACTTTTTCTCTTTTATCCCGGTTTGTTGTCTTTTTTTCTTCCCAGCATACCTGAGCCCCTCGCTGATCTGAGATGCCAGCATCCCCCATGTTTGCCCAGGACCAAAGAGAATCCACCCCCACCCCGTGCCCCGAGCATTGTCCACCCACAGTGGGGGTCAGTGTGGCCACCTTGTGAGCTCTCCCCCACCCGGGCATCCCAGCCCCGCGTCCCTGTGTCCACGACACATTGAGTCTCTGTCTCTTGGCAGGAAAACAAAAGTGAAAAGATGATCTCGCTGCCAGCTCTAGTTGTCCTTTACAAGCTACGGGGCTGGATGATCGAGTGGGGATCACAAGGGCAGGAAGTGGGCCGAGAGCTGACTCCAGCCACAGGAGGCCCCCCACCACGGCTGCATCTGTGAAGATCCCCAGGTGCTGACCAGCTGGACCGTGCCTGGGCAGCTCCTCAGTCTGTGAACACACCTGGCTGCACCTCCACAGTGGCGGTGTCCATGTCCGAGGCCCCCTGGCTGTCGCTGACTCTCAAGTGGAAAGTGTAGACCCCCTCCACCAGATTGGTGAGCTGCAGGGCCACACTGTGGTCAGAGCCATCGATGACATCCTGTGAAATAACAGGATGCACAGGGCAGCTGTCAACCTCGGGTTTCTGATCCCAAGCCTGAGCACCCTCACCCACGAGATGGGTCAGGCTGGGGAGGGAGCATCCCTCAGCTCCCCTCCCCACACAGCTCCAGGGCACAAAGTCCAAGGCAGGATTTCCAGGGCCCAAGCGCTTTCCAGGAATTAGCAAATGAGTGATTCTGTCCAAGAGAGGGAAAGACCCAAACCAGGGCGAGGACCCCAGGGGCAAGGCCTGGGTTTCACGGGTCTTATTTAACATATCTGCTTTATAACACTCTCATCTTGGGCTCCCTTCCGGCACAACACGGTCTCCTCAGACTGAAACCCTGGGAGAAAGGGAGGTCATTGTGGGCCTCGATGGTCCGAAGGATTAGAGCAGACTCTCCAGATTCCCAGCTCTGAACTTGCTGACGGGAAAGGATGCACAAGAAGGTAGGGACTCGGAGGAGAGGAAGAGAAGCCCAGGAGACCCACCACCAGCTGGGCAGAGGGCATTCCAGACGGACTGGGGAAATGTGGAGCGCTCAGTCCCTCCCTGTGACCACGCCTTCAGTAAGTACTTCTCCCAGAGAAGGTTTGCAGTCCCTGGCAAGGGCAGGAAGGAAGATCCCCAACCCTAAGCCCAGGAGGCACAGCGGGCTGTGGGAAAGTGCCCCAGGAGCTGCACCCTGGACGGTTTTGTAGGCAGAGGGACGAGCTAGCTGACCTGAGCCAAGGCTCTCTCCACCTCTGCGTTCACTCTCCTCCCCTGCGGAGGGGATCAGCCATCCCGACTTGTGACATGTCTGATATAACATAAGGAAGAGGAAGAATCTACTTGGACCAAAACAGCAATGACAGGGAAGAGCAAAAAGATTCCCTCAACAGACTCGGCTTCCAAGTGCTCCAGGCTCTGCTCTGCTACCCAGCCAGAGTGTGGTCAGGGAAGGGCGGAAAGGATTTCAGGATCTAACAGCAGCTCTGACCTCCAGGCCCTGGGACATTCAAACTTAGACCAAGCCCCTTACCGGGGAGATGAGGCCATGATATGGACACTGCTACAGACTGACTGTGTCCCCCAAACCTCACATGTGGAAGCCCTAACCACCAGTGTGACCAAAGGCAGGACCCATAAGGAGGTAATCAAGGTGAAAGGAGGTCCTAGGGTGGGGCCCTGATTAGGTATGATCAGTGTCCTTCTGAGAAGAGACACAGGGCTTGTGCCTCCCCTCCTCGCTCCCTGCCATGTGAAGACACAGCGAGAAGGCAGTTGTGGACCAGCCAGCAAGAGGCCTGAGCAGAACCCGAACCGGCCGGCGCCTCAGTCTCACCTTCCCACCCTCCAGAGCAACAGGAAGTGGAGTCCTGTTGGCCAAGCCACCGGGCCCCAGTGTGCTGCTGTAGCAGCCCGAGCAACTGGCACAGACACATCACAAACAGGCACTCAGCTGGCATTCAAGGTACTCACCCCCGCAGCAGGACTCTGGCCATCCCGCACCCACAGATAGGACACAATGCCTTGGTCGTCGGTAGACCTTGAACCATCCAAAGTAATGGAATTATTGGGAAGGACGAGAACATGCCTGCCACCAGCCCGGGCTCTGGGAGGACTGTTACTTTCTATGTCAAGTACAGCAAAAAATAAGCAAAGACATCGATTTAAAATGCTGGTGATAGAAAGCAGGTCATAAAATACCCACAAGTGTTCCCTCTTGCAGAGATGCAGCTTTTAAAAACTTAAAAGACATTATTTTCTGCCCCAAATACCTGCAAGACAATATATAGACTTTCTTACAACTCTGTGCTTAGCTGTTTAAGATTGGGGTGAAAAGGGCAGGTGGCAGCCTGGACACTGATGACTTTTCTAATATATATAATAATGTGTTACTTCTCTTTTTAAAAGGAGAGAAACATTGATCTTACAATGTTCAGGGTCCAGAAAGTAAAAACATTTTGATTTAAAACACACTCTAGGGTTGGGTCAGTGGTAGAGGTCTTGCCTACTACGTGCAAGACACAGCCAAGAAATACAAATAAAAACAAAGCAAATACACCCTGGGTCATCTTTTACTGGTCCACACCGTCTGACTGCAGAAATGTCTGGATTTTTTAATATTATCAAACTGGTAGAAAGTGATCAGCCCCTCCCTCCTCTGATGAGGTGTCAGATAGAAATGAGACAGCATAGAGCCATTTCTGATTTAACACCCCAGGAAAGAGGGCCGGGGCACCAGCAGGGACGGGTGCCACCAGAGGCACAGGGCTGGTCTGGAGAGGAGGCGGCTGCAGGGCGAACCCCGCTTGTTCAGAGGGCTCCAGAGTCTCCTCCCCACAGGCAGCAGCAGAAAACAGGGTCAGAAAGTGTGAGGACGGCCTTGGGCCTGAGCCTAAGCAACTCCATTTAAAAACTCCCACTTTGAAACCTGCGGTCTCACCAGGTGCCTACGGAGCCCTCCAGTATGGTCATGAGGCACAGCCCTGACATGAACAAGTCACTTCCCCCCACCCTGACAAGCTCAGCGCGAAGTCTCTGTCGTGTTGTCCTTGCCCCAATAAGGGGGAGAGGCAAGAGAATCAGGGTGAGGACCTCCAGACCAGATGCCTTAATACCAGGGCAAATGACATCACTGAGAAACCCGGTGGCAGAATTGAAAGGGTGGTCGGATGCCCCCAAATGTAGTCTAAGTGATGGAGCAAATGAGCAGACGTTCAGCCAGCCGACACCGATGCCCTCAGGCTGGAGAGCCTGGTGAGGACCTGGACTGACATCCCAGCTCTTCTCATCCGCCTGATCCTCTGCATTGTTCCCATCACTCTCAAACTCTACAGCAGCCTCCTGACTCTGGTGAGAAAAGGACTTCTCCCCATGACCGCCTCCTCAGCCAGCCGTCAGCTCCACCCCAGGAGAAGCCTGCCTCGGTTCCTGATCTGATGTCAGGAAAAAGTGAGTGTGCATCTGCTGGACTTGCGGCTTAAGGCTGGAGACTTTTGATCTGACACTTGAACTTGGCTTGCAGACGGAATGTCTGTCATGAGCCTGTCATGATTACGTGTGTTTGCAGTGCTTAGAATTAATTAGTCTAGAATTGTTTGCTGTAAATTGATTATGTCTATGCAGTGCCCAGCATTAAAGATTGTCCTTTTCTTGATTAAGAACCTTTAGAATGAAATTGTATTGAGTGATTTGAGTGAATAAAGCATCGAAAGGGCAGAAGTGTGTGGACATTCTTTATTTCTCCCCCCTCGACTGCATAAGTCACACCTTTTGCCCATCGCGACAGGAGGCCAAGGCTGGAGCCCGGGGATCCTTAATATTCCCTGGTCCCCAGGCTGGAGACTGCAGCAGAGACAACTGGTCCCATTTCCAGGCTTCCCGCTTCCCTAAGTCCTGAGATGGGGCTCGGGGCAGAGTGCTTGCCCAGCACACACAGGTCCTGGCTTGATCCCCAGGACAAAAAAAAGGATCTCATTTACCACACTCCATTAGGGGTGGGACATGGGGAGGGGAGCGAGGTTCACATTAAGGAGGCTCAATTCCAGGTGAGGGATGTGGCTCGGAGGTAGAGCACTCACCTAGTATGCAAAAGACCCCAGGGTCAATCCCCAGCAACACACACACACACACACACACACAAAAAAAAAAAGACACAAAAAAACTTAATTCCACTGTGAAAAAGGGGGAAGGTGCTGAAGAATAGAAACAAACAGGCATAAACTGAGCCCAAAGGCCTGTAGAAAACAACACCGAGGTTCCAAGTAGGTCCATGGCAGGTCCAGCACTTCCCCTTGGTCTGTGCTCTTGAACTCCAGTTATATGCTCCCTGACCCCTGCCCAGACACATCATTGTCACCAACTCAAAATGTCCAAATCTGCATTTAAAACCTACTGCTGCTCTTCTGTGAATGCGATTTCCCTCACCACCCACCCACATGCCAAAGTCACGAATCTTGGTGCCATCACTGCCATCCCTCCCAGCATCATGCCACCTCTCTTACCCTCAGGTGCATTTCTAAGTCCTGAGAACACACGCTCCCAAGGTCTTCCCAACGTGTCCCTTTTCTCCCTAGTCTCACCTTCTTGGCCTCTAATAAGGTAATAAGGTTCCCGTCACCTCCTGCCCAGATGACTCCACATCCCCCACATCCTCCCGGCCTGCTCTTTTCCATATATATACTTCACCACTGAGCTACACCCCAGTCATGCCATCTTCCTAGAAATCCACGTCTTAAAGTTGAAATGACATGGTGCTAGGGTTTGCTTTCAAACATTCCAATCAAAGTAGACTAAGCTGCGAATTGATCAGAGGAACAAGACCAGCAAAGCAATGTTGGCCGTGGAAGGTGCCCGCGGCACACGAGGGGCTTTAGGGCTATTCTGCTTTTATGTGTGGTTAGAAATATCTACAATAAGATGTTCTTAGAAATCCAGCTCTACATCACTCTGCTGATGAAACTGCTCCAGCCTCACCTACCTGCCAGCTGCTAGGCATCACAGGTGGCAGTGCACCCTTCGTGGCTGAGCCTCTGCCTCAGGCCCCAGCAGCTGTCCCCACAGCCCCACGCCCTGGCCCTTCCCATACCACATGTGCATCATTCCGTCAGCCATGCTCTCCTTCCTCTGTGCTTAAACATGTCACAATCGTCCATTTTAGTCCTTCCAACTAACCAACATTTGTGACTGCCACGAGTCCAGCACTGCTTTATAGAGAGGATGAAGAAATGGCTGAAGCAAAGGGCCCGAGCCCTCAGGGCCAAGGAGGCAGGCAAGAGAACAGAGCCAAGAGCAGTTAACAGCTAGAGGCTGGGAGCACCTCTGAGCCGAACTCCGACAGACAGCAGAGTGTGGCCGCATCTCCAGACCTGGGCTTTGGTCGCCACGGCCTCTGAAGGAGAGTGGAACTGTTACAAGATACTCAAGGAAAAGGAAAGGTGCTTCCTTGCACAGGGCTTGGGGAGAGCTGTGCGGCTCCGAGGCTGGCCCTGTGGGAAGGAGGGAGTGAGCACTGACATCTCTACCCGGCGGGGCCCAGGGTCCTGCTGGACACGAACGCAGGCCGGTGGTCTACTCACCCTTCTTCACTGCCAGAGTCAGGGTGGACGTGCTGCTCAGCCCCTGCTGGTCTGCCACTGTGAGGCGGAAGAGGTGGGTACCCACCTGCAGCCCGGTGACGGTGGCCACAGCCCTGTCCACGTTCTCCATCTCCACTGCACTGGGGCCTCTGTAAACCAAGACAGTGAGAACACGGGGAGGGCGTGGGGCGCTCAGGCAAGAGTGTGGCCGCCCCACAAACGCTGCCTGCCGCTTCCGGGCAATGTGCACACCCAGAGTATCTTAAGGTGACCTTGTGTCCCTGGTACACTCCAGGTAAGCCTAACCGTCAACCGCCAAAGCCTATTTTCTACAGTCGGCTGCGCTCCTGGAAGAAGATACCTGTTCTTGGTTTTTTATTTTAGTTAGCTGCCAGTGAGATGATCTAGCCTTGGAAACAGAATCTTACAAACTACCCCTTTCTTTTCCTAATAAAATTGGGTCAAAATCCTTGTCCACCTTTAGGGAGCACATGGAGGAGGGTGAGCCAGATGGCGGATGTCCTAAGAGGAATTACGCGGTGCATTAAGAGGGAGACTTGGTTCTCAGAAGACCTAGGTTGAGCCCAGCTCCTTCTCCTCCTGCCTTGGCAGCCTGAGGCCATGTGATCTCAGCAGTCCTTGTGCATCTTAGGTTTTCAGCTTCAAAATGCGAGTAACCCTCGTAATCAGCCTCTTAAAACGTCGCGTAGACGTCCAGGAGATGGGGCGTGTGAAGCTCGGGAAATGCTGGGTCATACTGAGCTCTGAACTTCCGTGGCCTCCAGTCTGCGCAGGGTGGTAGGGCGCAGACAGGGCTCCCCGAGGCCCCCCTGAGCTTCTTCCATCCCCAGTTCCCCTCACACCAGGACAGCCCTGCCACCTGCCCTGGGACCCACGCCCTGCAGTCTCTGTCCATCTTGTCTGCACTTGGTGCACTCTTCGGCCAACCACGCCCGGTTACTTCTAGAAGCCTGCTCGAGTCCTGACTGGCTGTCTGGTGCTGGTCCTCCAGGGAGGGGACACTGTCCCTCAGCATGGCTGTGACCCCTAGAGTGGTGGCTTGACACCCACCCGATGTGCTCCCAGTGGTAGTGGACAATGCCGTGGTCATCACTGCTCCGGCTCCCATCCAGGGTGGCACTTTGCACTGGGAAGACCAGCTCCTTGTCGGGGCCGGCCACGGCCACGGGAGGCCTGTTGTTTCCTAGAATTGCAGAAACCGTGTGAAAAGGTCCCATCTCTGCCTGAAGGCTGCCATCCTCTGACTTATTGTTCTAGACATTTATCTGATACATAAAAACATAAAGTGGTACTTGATACTTGATAACGGGCACCATAGAACGTTCCATGCGTGTGTGCGCTGCCTAATGTTTACATCAGACAAATCTCCTCATTTGTCAATTTTTGGTGGTGAAAGCCTCTGCAGATATTGCCCCCCACTGGTGCCTGTCCTGTGGGCTCTTGCAGACCCTGATGTCCCCTGCTAAGTCCCGATCATGTTGTACCACAGTTTAGAGACAGAATCAAGACAAGATTCTGAACTTGAAAGAAAACTGGTTCTCCGAGCAGCAGCAGCTCCCAGCCTGACGTCCTGACGGCAGCGAGGTGTAGAGACTTTCCTGCCCAATTGGTCACAACCTAAGCCCAGGGGCCCGATTACTGTTCCTGCTTCCATCCTGGGGGCCAGATCTCATTTCCATGTCACATACCAGGCTGGACAACCACAGCGACCACAGCAGTGGACTGCTGACCGGCAGAGTCTGTCACCAGCAGCCGGAAGGCGTACTCTCCTTCCTGCAGAGCAGACAGATGAAGGTACGGGGTCTGTGCTCCCTGAGCAGCAGCAAATGCAAAGACAAAAACAGAGAGATATTAAAGAAGCTCAAGTAAAGAGTGTGACATAGGCAAACTCACGATTTCATCTAATACAGAAAATGAAAGACATATGAACCCAGGAAAATGGAATGTGTAGCGCACTGTGTATCCTCAGAGCATTGAAGGAATTAGGTGAATATAGCCCAAGAGGCAATGTCCATCAGGATGCACAGCGGGCACATTCTTACCCAGCAATCCTCAGCATCTACACCAGAGAAATGCACAGGAGGCTCACCCCAGGGGCTGACCTAGCCCAGTGCAACAGCGACACAAGGGAAGCAAACCCACTGCTCACCAACAGGGAGTGGCCAAGGCCACCGCAATGCACTATGGAATGCAAGCTTAGAGGAGAGATCCTCAAGGCTGGGCTGCGGCTCAGTGGAAGAGCAAGTGCTTAGCATGTTCCAGGCCCTGGGTTCCATACCCACCAGTCAAACAGAAGAAATTTAAAAGAATGAGGTAGCTTTAAATTTTTTAAATGTAAAGACATATTAAGCAAAAAAAAAAAAAAGACATTGTATACACTGTGATAGTATCGCTACACACACACACACACATGCAAACACATAGAGAAGATTCTGGAAGCGCACCCATTTAACTTATCAAAGAAATGGCCTCTAATAGGGGACCTGTAAGAGAGTGGTAGTCAATATACATTTTCACCTTATCAGAGTTTATTTGAGCTGATTTTTAAATTTTTTCCTGTAAGAAGCAATTCATATATCACTTTTGCAATCAAAAATAAATCTGGGGGCTGGGGTTGTGGCTCAGCAGTAGAGCGCTCGTCTAGTGCATGCGAGGCCCTGAGTTTGGTCCTCAGCACCACATAAAAATAAATATATAAAATAAAAGGTATTGTGTCCAACTACACCAAAAAAATAAATATTAAAAAATAAATTTTAACATTAAGGCAAAAAACATAAACAAACAAAAGCAACACCGTTTTTCAAAAGGCATGCTCTCAGCCACACTCGGTGCCTGCAGGTGAAAGTCCTTTTGCGGTAGAGCAGGGGCTTAGCATGTGCATGATGCTGTGTTGTCGCTGGTAATAGTTTCAGTTATTCTTACATTTGCAGTTTGTGGCATCAGAAAAGAATTTTGACTTTAATCCTATTTCAATTTATTTAATTTTAAATATCCCAGGATTGCCTAAATATAAATGTGTCTGTATTTCTTGAGGTTTTAGGTGGAAAATTGATAAAGAAAGTTGATACAATATCAATTGTGTTATCACAAGGAATGGTATTCTGAAATTTGAAATGCATAAACACTTAAGAATTTTAAAAGAAAATGCTTTCCTCTATTTTCCCCTTCTGGTGCTAGGGATCAACCGACGCAGGGCCTTGGGGACGCCAAGCCCATGCCCTGCCTCTGGACTCCCCCACAGACCCTTTACTTTAAACAGGCCAAGCACATTTCTCTGAAAATTTCAACAGAAAAAGCATAACTTCTAGTACTTGGCTCAAAATTGATATGGTCAGAGAGATGTTCACGCACACGGGAACTGAGCAGACCATGGGCCTGCCTGAGCAAAGTGTCTACAAAGAAACTCTGCAGAACTGGCCCCTTCCCCAGTCTGCCACACAGCCTCAGCAGGCTGCCTGGTGTGGTTTTCAGGCCATGCAAAAGGGTCTGGTTCTCAGAACTCGACTCTGTGGTGGCCCCAGCGGGTACGAAGCTCGTGCCTTTGGACATGTTAATCAACCATGTGGCAATAACATGTTCCTGTGGCCAGTCTCTGGGCAGGGAGAGAGGGGTGTGCAGCCACTGCACTGCTATGGAGAGCCAGACTCACTCGGGGACCCAGCCCCCGTAACTTCCCTCCACTACACGTCCAGGGTGGGGGGTGGATTCTGAGGGATTAGCTCTGGGCACATAAGGCTCAATAATTATGTAAAAGAAAATTTGGAAGAATCTCTTAACCAAGGAAGTATAAAATATAAAAATAGCCCAACCTTCTTTTTTTTTTTTTTTCTTTAGCCAGTACTGGAAACTGAACCCAAATTAACCTCAAGATCTAGTCATCAACACAGGACAGCTTGGTTGAGAGGAAAGGATGTGAACTTGGAAGGGTTGGGAGTTTAGGTGCTCCTCTAACAGTGCAGTAGTCTAACAGACACACTTATGAAAGCAGACTTTCTGGATCTAACTGCCCCTGCCCCAAACCAAGACTCAATTGGTAGAAATAAAATATGGATGGAAGGATGGATGGATGGGGGAGTAAGGTAGATAGATAGATGGATAGATAGATGATAGTGACAGGTGACACAGACAGATGCTGCAGTTGATAAGGGTGGACTGATGTAGATGATAGAAATGGACAATAGAGATAAACACAGAGAACAATAGAGATGGACGATACAGACAGACAACCAAGAGTCAGGAGCAGGTGGAGAACGTGCCTGCATGGCCACCTCTTTGCTCCAACTGCTGGGGTCCAGGGACCACTCATAGAGGACGATCTGGTGATCATCACTGCTCTGGTTTCCGTTCAAAGTGATGGAGTTCTGGGGCAAGGTCATGGTCTGATTTGGGCCTGCGTTGGCGACAGGTGGGTGGTCCACAGCACTGCCGACGGTCAGGGTGGCAGTGGTGGAATTGGTGGCTCCATCAGAGTCAGTGACGGTCAACCTACAGAAAGGAGAGGAGGCTGTGAGTCTGCAAGAGCTTGCACATCTGGACATGAGTGGCCAGCTCAGCTGCTCCTGGTCACAGTCTCCAGAACGGCTCAGAACAGGCAAATAGAAATGAGGATGAAGTTTAAAGAAGCACACAGACTCAGGGATGTTTTTGCCTGCTTTTCTTCCTGTTGACTCATCTTTGTTTATCTTCTCATGTCAAAGTTTAGGGGCTTCCCTTGCCTCTGGGATGCTGGGTGGAGAGGCCCCTTGGCCAGAGCAGCTGCTCCCCACAGCTGAGACTAAGAAGAACAGCGTCTGAGGTAAGTTCTGCCTTCAGTCTGGAGCACTGGGGGACAGTGGACCGTTCTTGGATTTTCAGCTAGGAAGCTCTTTAATTTTTCAACCCTTTTCCAGAAGCTTATGATAATTGTTTTCAGGACACTCTGCAAGGTAATGTTGGGACTCAACACTTTCAAATACAAAGTGATGCTCAGTCCACCAAAAGAAACCAGCATGGACCCTCCTGTACTGATGGAATGAGTTAGTTGGAAACGTAGTAATAAGAACAGGATATCCCAAAGGCCACTTCGTCCTCCTGGGGGACGACGGTGGCTGGGCAGTGGTAAGGGCTAGGTGGGTGAACAGGAACGTGGGGATGAAGAAGCAGCTTCAGGGAGGTGCCCTCGGCCTGCGCATCCTGGGCCTCCTCTCCCGCCGCCCACCCGCTCTCTCCAACCAAGGTCCAAACTCCCATTTCATCATGTATAAATTTCATACTAATAAGTAACTAAAGTGATAGAGAAATATTTTAATCATAACTTCTTTAAAGTTCCTTAGGCTTTTATATCAGAAACTTTCCACAAGTCCACATTAGAAAAATCCTCAAATAAAAAAGTGGTTGATAATGTGTCTATAATGTTGCAAACACCTGTAAACACACACAACTCTGACCCAGAAGTTTCACTGATACCCTAAAATGTAGCCGTAAAGATGTTCACTAAACAGGGAATGACGAGGCTGACTTCATAAAGGACTACTATGTTGTAGCACCACAGCAGCCAACGTGCAGAGAAAGCCCAAACCAGACCCACCAACGAGGACATCTGCTAGAGGAAAGACGTGCACTGCAGAGTGGGAAGGGACAGAGGGACAATGAGTAGTACCAACACCCAGGTGGGGAAAACCACAATTGAGAGACAACCCATTCCAGATGGATAAAAGTTTGAACATGAAGGATTCAAAATTTTAAACTGTTAGAAGAAAATATAGAAGGTAGGTTGCAAAACACCCCATATGTCTTGATCCATGTAAGAGAAGAACATTTTTGTTTGTGAATAGAAAGGGGCTGTGAGGGGCTGGGGCTGGGGCTCAGTGGCAGAGCGCTTGCCTAGCATGAGTGAGGCACTGGGTTCCATCCTCAGCACCACGTTAAAAAATAAACAAATGTCCATCTACAACTACAAAAACATTTTTTAAAAAAGAAAAGGGGCTGTGAACTTAGATACCATGAAGAAGCCATGAGGAAGTTCACCCCAGATACATGAAATCAGATTCCGTGTCCTTGTGTCCTTGGGCCTGGCTTATTTCCCTTAGCGTAATGCTCTTGGCATCTATGTTGTACCATCTATCCAAATTTCATTCCTGGGTTTTTTGTTTGTTTGTTTATGTTTTTATTTTTTTGGTTTGAACCCAGGGGCACTCTCCCACTAGGCCACATCCCTAGCCCTTTTTAGTTTTATTCAGAGACAGGTCTCACTAAGTTGGTTAGGCCTTACTAAATTGCTGAGGCTGCTTTGAACTCACAATCCTCCTGCCTCAGCCTCCCGAGCTGCTGGGATTACAGGCGTGTGCTACTACACCAGGCTCATTCCTGTTTTTTAAATTTCATTCCCTTCTAAAGCTGAATATCCCTCAATTGCATGTGCATATTTCATATTTTGCTTTTCCATTCATCTGTTGATGAATGGAAATTTCAGACACCTGAAATTCTGCTCCATGCAAGGACACCTCTGCCTCTCGGCCATTGTGAACAACACTGTGGTGAACACTGGAGTCCCTGCTGTCAGGTCCCTGGGTGTAGGCCCAGAGACAGAACCGCTAGGTCATGGGTGATTCTGTCTCAGCTTTTGGAAGAGCCGCGAGTGCTCTCAGCAGCTGCCAGCGGACATGCCCCCTCAGCCCTGGGGCTTCCACTTCTCCACACCCTTGGCAGCGCTTGCTATTTTCTTCCCTCCCCTCTCCTCCCCTTCCTCCCCTCCCCATCCCTTCCTTCTTTCCTTCCTTCTTTCCTTTTTAGCAATCCAAATGTGAAATGGATGAATAATTTCTAAGCTGACATTTCAAACAAACTAAAACACAAACTGATTCAACTGTGTGCAAAGCCTAGAAGACTCTGGAGTTCCTCTGTGGACCTTGTGGTCAAAGATAAAACCCAGCAGGTTCTGAAGGACCCCAAACCAAGCCGGACTCCAGGTCTGCAGACCCATGGGGACGGCTCTAGGTCTAACAGCTGGGAAGTAGCAGAAGGGACACCTCATGCAGCCAACTGAAATTCTGCTCCAATCAAGAAGAGAAGAGCTAAGTGAGCAAACGGTCAATAGGGTCAAAGAGATAACTGGGAGCACAGTCTCGGGGTCACAAGGGAGCCGGGTGGGGGGTGGGACGAGTGTGGAGACGGAACTCCCGGGAGGTCGGAGGACAGAGCCACTGTGGGAAAGAGAACTGCATTGAGCCGGCCTTCCCCTCCTGGCCGTTTGCCTCTCAGTCTCCATCCCCGAAATGCAAATCTATGTCCTCCCAGAGACATGCTCACGGCAGCTTTATTTATCATTGTTCTGCCACAGAGAACCCAGATTTCAGCAGGTGGAGTGGGGTGCACCTGTATCCCAGATACTTGGGAGGCTAAGGCAGGAGGATGGCTTGAGCCCAGGGGTTCAAGACCAGCCTGGACAATGTAGTGAGGTCCTCTCAGAAAAAGACCCTAAATGTCCATTGTAGATGAATGGATAAATGAATCATGGCATATCTATTGTTGGGACTCAGAAGATAATACCCCAATATATGACTTTTGGGGGGCATACTGAACAATTTTGTGTAAAGGGAAAGACTTTCTCTGGATTCCCTTCATCTGCACTGAGGCCTCACCTACCACAAGGAACACACCTGCCTTCCCTCCCCACCCTGACACCCAACTGTCCACGGCAGAGAGGAAGGTTGAGGAATGAGCCCACTCTGATGGACATCCCTTGAAGCAGTCCCCACATCACGCATTCCCCGAAGAATCGCCCAGGAGCCTCCAGTCGTTCACCTCTGGCAAAGGGGCCAGAGTTTGAGCAGTGTTGAGTGGGCGAGTTCCCTCCATGTCCCCTCCTCCTGGCCGGGAGCGTCCTCCCCTGCACATTACTAAGCCTTCGGCCTTTTCCCCTGTCTGATCTGTCAGTTGACGACAGCGAACCCTGGAAGGTGTTCCTTCGCTCCTGCGCCCTACGCTCATATAGACTCAGCCAAGGCAAGGGAACCCTGTGATGCAGAAGACACAGGTCAGCCTCAGCGCAGGCGAGGAGCAGCTGCGGTGCCCTCCAGGGACACAAGTTACAGAATGCAAAAGGTCAACGGTGGCAGGAGGCCCATCAGTGGCTGCCTGGAGGGGCAAGAGGAGCTTTGGGGGCAATAGAAATGCTCATTGACTCCATCAGGGTGGTGGCTTCACAGGTGTGCACATGGGCCAAGAGTCACTGAGTTCCACAGTTTGAATATGTGCAGTTCACCTTACTTCAGTTGTACCCTAGAAAGTCATAAGAAGGAAAGATTGAAATAGCCATGTAATTAACAATCACATAACTCTGCCTCACTTTGAAGATGCAGAGTTTGTTTTTTGTAACTCAACAGAGCAAAAAAGGTGCTCTGTTATAGTCCCCATTCAGTTGCTGACACCCAAACCAAACACTTCCAGTGAACAGGTCACAGGAATCAGGGAGAATCAGCCTGCGGTGGCGCCAACCAGAACCCCGAGAAGACCAAATTCACCTCACCTGTGGACCAGGATAAAAAGCACAGCAACTTTTAGGCTTCAATTCAAGGAGGCAGTCAAAACGTAAGTACTGGGAAGCGATAAACAATGGCAACAGGACCCACTTGCCTGACGGTGTGGTTGCCAAGAGCAAGGTTAGCCACGCGCAGGATGGGGGCGTCGGACAGGTGCTGCCCCGCGAGGGGCCCGCTGACTGCTTCCCAGCGATAGCTCACTATCTCAGAGTCATCTGTACTCCCTAAAAGGTCAAAAGCAGAAACCAGAATGAAACCCAAGAATAGTAAAGCATAAACTTTGTGACTTATGTAATTCCAAATTTAAATTCATTTTTTGAATTTATTTTTTTGATTGTTGATAGAACTTTATTTTTATTTATTTACATGTGGTGCTGAGAATCAAACCCAGTGCCTTAACATGCCAGGCAAGCGCTTGACCACTGAGCCCCAGCCCCAGACCCCTTTAAATTCATTTTATATGAGACTCTTACATAGAGCTCAATGACAAATATTATGTATTAGAAAGGACCATTTTCCTACTCCCTAAATTATCACTCTGTCTTTCTCCTGGATTTGGGCAGATCCGAGTGAGGACGTTCCCACAACGTGAATATTTAAGAAGCACAGTGACAGTGTTGCTTTTTGAGAAAACAGGTGTGAAGAGCAGAGCACATGGAGAGGCTGGTTCCCCTCGCCCCCTGCAGGAGGGACCCCACTCACAGGTTCCGAATCCCCTGATGCTGACCATGTGAAGAGCTGCTTCTCTGTCATTCAGACAAAGCTTCACTACAGGCATTATTAAGGCGTGAATCTAGAAAGGTCTGATCCTGCATGAGAAGTTCCCACTTAAAGCACAGCAAAATGTTTCATGTGGAATTATAGAAAGCAAGACCTGGCAGGGGGCCCATTTCATTAAAGGAAACCACAGGTTCATGTGGCAGAATAATTCTAATTTCTTGTAACTAAGCTGCACTGAATCAAAATTCGAGACATCTTCTCATGGAAACGCTTCCATTCAAAATATGCCTCATCTTCATGTCGCAAGGGGAAATGTGGACCTGCCCATCTGGACAGATGCAAGGGTCAGGTGGGCGTGATCTCTGAGCCCTTGCAGGCCAGGAGAAGGGAGCGGCCCTGGCTCTTCTCCCTGCAGCCAGGAGAGCTCCCCATGGGATTTGCATTAGCTTTGTGGTCAAGTGACATGACACGCACATACCACACACACTAAGTCTGGTGAAGCAAGTGAGCACACACGCCAGGCTCTTCTTATCTGCGTGGCCACCTGTAACCCCCTGGGGCCTCTCCACTAGAGAGAAGGAACCCTGGTCACATCAGCAAGGGACACTTCCACCTCACTGATGGCAGCCCACTCATGCTACTTTAAAGTGGTTTTCCAGCTGCCCTTTACATATGTCACACACATCCACAGAAGCCTCTTGAGTAGTGGCTTTAGGTCCAGGTCAAACAGCTGGCCCTAAGAAGTTCCTTACAGACCAAGGTGACAGCGGAAGGGCAAGGGAGCACAGACAAGGACACAGTGAGGACAAAGCTGAGGAGCTGTAACAGAAGTTAGAGGAGGACACACTCATCACGTGTTGGCTAAGTCCCCAGGCCTGCTGCAGGGACAGTCAGATCCTGGGGGTGGGGGTGGGGGGCGAAACCCAGGCGCATCAGGGGACACACACCGCTGCCATCGATGAGCGCTGCTGTCGTCAGCGGAGCGAGCTCCTGTCTCTGGGGAGAAACAACAGCCACTGGAGGCAGGTTGACTCTTCCGGCTGGGAGACAGAGAAGAGAGCCCTGAGCCCAGGCTGTGCGTGCACAGGTCCACCCAACACGACCAGCGGCTTTTTACCCTGATTCACCCTGCCAAGAGGGCGTCTCCCCGCAGGCCTCAACCTAGAGAACGTTCTGAAGCTTTAGAACTTTCCCGTGAATGTCAGTGTCCTCTGCAAGCTCACATTTCTGACTGTGACCGAGGCCCAGCAAGACAGGGAAGAATGACACGGGGTGGGTCCCTCGGTCAGAGCAGCAGCACAGACTGCGGCTTCAGCTCCTGTGATTGGCTGCGTCTTGGATCTTTGACTGAAGGTACCCAAAGCCACCACCATGCTCCAGCTATGATAAAGATCATGCAGAGCGGGCAGAAGGCAAGCTGCCGGCCTGGGACAGGGAGGAGGGGACCTGGCAGAGCTCTGTGGCGCAGGCTGAGACCCCACCCTGCTGAGGGGTGGTGGAGGATGCAGGCCGGCTTGTGGCCTACTCACTGACCAGGGCAAAGGCCACTTGTGGCCCCAGGGCAAAGGCCACCTGCTCTGATTCACATGGATGCCCTGACTTACAGCCCAGGAGTGGACACAAAGCCCACGGCAGACCTGTCCCCCGACTGGAAACATGTATAGGTGGCTTAACATGGTTAGGTGGCTCCAGTGGATATGTTTAAAACACCCCTGCTCCCAAGCTGAAGCTGAGCCCCGAGGGCAGGAGGGCAGGGGAGTGGATGGAGGTCAGAGAGGAGGCTGAGTCCAACTGCCACCCCTCAGGAACTGAGCAGGCCTAACTGCGAGTCCAGCAGGTACTAAGCAGTCCTCAGATGGTAGAAAAACACAGCCACCTGGGACCCTCACATGCCTTCCTATCATGGAGCCTAAGGTAGAAGTTGAAACCTCCTGGCCATGTCACCCAGATGCCAAAATCAAGATGACCCACAGAGCAGCAGGCCATCTGTCACACCTACCTGGCTTCACAGTGACGTTGACAAAGCCCTCTCCAGAGGCCTTCTCACCAGAAACGGCCACCTTGAAGGTATACAGTCCGGCTGATAACTGCAACATAAAGTCACACAGGAAGCATGCCCAGCCCTGGCCGATGCCCCCTGGAGGGGCTAGAATATCCCTGGTGTGGCAAGGAGGGGCTCAGGAGAAAGCCCCCATCCCGTCTGTTCAGAGACTGCCGTCTGGTGGCCACCTGAACTCCAGGACATGGAGGTCAGCTGGATGGCCCTTTCGCTTAGTTACAGCCAGCACAGGCCTACAGAGGCCTGAGTGTAGAGATGGACCAGCCAGGGGCAGCAGATCTCAAATGCATGGAAATCATGCACCTTTTATTTTTTTCCCAGAGCTGGGGATGGAACCGGCCACTGCCCCACTAACCCAGGTCCCCAGCCTGGAACCGCTGATGGTCTGGGGAGCACACTAAGCAATGGAGCTCAGTGACAAGAGGTGGCATAAGGGGTGTGGCAACTTCAGCTGTGTAGTCTCGGGAGGTGACAACGACAGGGTCCTCTGTGGGAAACCAGGTCTCAGGATCAGTCAGTCAGGAAGAGGGCAGCTTCCTCCTGGGGACCTTATCTCAGAGCAATGTCCCACAGGCAAAGCAATCTGGGACTGCAGTGGAATTACGGGCACCTCTGAGGAACGCCTGACTGGGAAGTGAGGGGACAGGTGGCTCTGTGCCGCAAAGCTGCGGGATCAGGACGCAGGCTTTAACCCTGCACAGCGGGCGCCGGGCAATGCCTGTCCCCTGAGCAGATATGCTAGCCAAAGCCTTTATGTAACCATCTGCCCAGTCTACCTGCATGGCTTAAGCTGCATGTCCTCCTTCTGGATGGGCTCCGGCAGCTCTGCTATCTCAGCCTCTGCCTGAGACCTGAATCTGGGTTCAACAGGTAAGACAGTGCCAACTGGGTCCAGTTACCTACTTGGGAGAGGTGAAGAGTCGGCCTGTGACCTTGCTCAATGTCACCCTGGTAATCTGCTGGGTGGCTTATTAGGCTCCATTCATACTTGTAGGTTGTTTCTGAGAGAAAATAAGAAATAGGAGCAGTTATGGGTTTGGGGCGGTCACTTCATAACCTGGGTTGAGAGGGAGGAGACAGCCATAAGCCCAGGAGTGTGGACACCTCATACCCTGACCCCACCTACCCCTCTTCACCCTCCATCCCAGCAAAGAGGAACAATGTTTCTCCCCCACCCACCCACTTCTCCCTCTCTCTCTCCTCCCTCTCTCTCTCTCTCTCTCTACCAGGGATTGAACCCAACCACTGAGCCACACCCCCAGCCCTTTTTTTTTTATATTATATTTTATTTAGAGACAGGGTCTTGCTGAGTTGCTTAGGCCCCCGCTAAATTGCTGAGGCTGGCTTTGAACTTGAGATCCTCCTGCCTTACCCTCCTGAGCTGCTGGAATTACAGGTGTGAGCCACCGTGACTGGCAGTTCATCCTCTTAATGGGAATATTTTTTTTATTATTATAAAAACATAACTTATAGAAAGTTTAGAAAATAGAAAACAATAAACAACTACAAAGAAAAAAAACCTTCCCCGATCTCTCTGCTAGCCTTTCCTTCCAGGTGCTACGTCTGATCCTCCCTGTAAGTTTTAAGAGGGTAATACACTGTATTTTCTCTCCTGTTAATAAAAGGCAAGGGGATTTCAGCCCATTTGATCTTTATAAGGTTTATATAAGGATATGAGAATGAACTGGACATCTCTAGGTTAAGCTAAAGCCATCTCCCACCTTCAGATATGAGAAAAAAAATGAGGTACCTCCTCTCAGGATTGAAATGCATGTCAGGAGGTATCCGCTCTGCTTATAAAATCCCAGCCACATGTGATGGGAGAATGAGCCAAAGGAACCCAACTGAATGACAAACAGCCAAAGCCCTGAAGAAGGAGTTACCTTAGGGAAAAGGGCATTTGACCACCTGGGGACAGGTCAAGTGTCCACTGGCCAACAGAGCTCTGGACACCTGCAGAAAGTACTCTGGACTTTTTTTGAACAGCTGGCATGAGGTGTCTGCAAACAAACCTTTGGTCACACACTGCCTCCCTCCTCCCGGGGAATTTCCTGGGCTCCATAAGTCCCCACAGATGGAGCTCTGCTACCTGACACCCGGCTCTCACGTGGTGTTCTGAGTTTTCCATCCTGAGCAATTAAAGGTTATGCAGTGCGTGTAATCTCTTACTCCATTCAAGACTGAAGCCGGGCCGTGGTGTGGCTTAGGAGGCTGAGGCAGCAATTTAGAGAGGCCCTAAGCTACTCAGCAAGTCCCTGTCTCAAAATAAAATATCAAAAATGGCTGGGGATGTGGCTCAGTGGTTGAGGGCCCCTGAGTTCAATCCTGGTACCCCCACACACACAAAAAAAAAACCTGTTTGAAGAAACTTCCTTGCTCATGATCATCCAATCCTAGTCTTCCCTCAGAACCTTGCTTGGTGCTGTTGCCCAGAGACGTGAAAACAACTGTAAAGACCTGCTCCGGGAGAACACCCACCCCCACCCCGACTCCCCCTTCCCGGGAAGGTCACAGAGGAAAGTCAGACTCACCTGCAGGTGGCGCTGGCACCACGGAGGCCTTCAGCTCCACCCGGTCCTGGGGCAAGGTCACTACCAGGTTGTCTCCCGCCGACACCCACAGTTCTTCCACTGAAAGGAAACCGGGGACCATGCATGCCCTCACATGATGTGCCCACTCCCGTCCCTGCCCCACAACAGGTTTGTTCTTAGATTCAATAAAACAAAATAACATGGTTTTGTAATCGTGCTTCATCGTTTTAAAGGAAGTCACTTTTGCCCCCTGGTTAGTAACTGAACTGTGCCCTCGCTATGCTTCGAGACAGACTTTGTGAGTCAGAGCCATCCAGGTGGGCTGGCGCTGGGAAGAGGACGGTCAGGCTGCGTGAGTTTCTGAACAAGGCGAAGGCGGCGGAGTGGGTCTGTCTCCCACCGCCCCAGCTGTCCTGGGCTCCCCATCAGTAGTCCTGAGCGTTCCTGAGCCGCAGAGCGCACACGCAGTTCTGGGCAGCCGGGAGGAAATTCAGGCAGCCTCCATATATGAAAAGGCCACTTTAGCTCAAGCAGCCGGGACAGGGGCTCCAACAGGAGCACAGGGCAGCAGCTCAGCACTCGGAACAGTGCTCCTGGGCTGGGCGCCAGGGTCGCCCCACTGTGTCCTGCCATGATTGTGCCTGCTGGGCTGGACACTAGTGTCACTCACAAACCACATTTTGATGGGTCAAAACACAATGCAGAAAAAAAAAAAAAACAGTGAGAACAAAATCTGAGCCCTCACCAGAGGTCTCAGCCACGGGGAGACGCTGGAGGCACAGGGGGCTCAGGCAGGCCCCCGCGGCCCTCAGTCCCAGGCCCCGGAGGCTGTAGCCACTGAGAGGCCTGGAGCCCTCCTCGGGCTCCCCCTCCTGTCACTCTCACTGTCCAGGCCCCCTGTCCCACAGTGGGGAAACGGAGCCCCGGAGAGGCACAACAAGCTGTCCGGGGCCACCTGGATAACTAGCCAATGCTTATTGGTCCACCAGGATTTAATTAGATATACCGATTTCAATACCAGATTGAACTGGGCCAAGCACTGCTCCAAAGGCTTCCAAAAAACCATGTAATCCTCCCAACCTCACATGGCAGTGAGAGTGAAGCCATAGGTCCCTGAAGAAATGGCCTCTGTTAAAGATCCTGCAGACGGCATGGCCTGGGCTGAGGGCCACTGTGACTGTGCAGACATGGAACGCGGCAGGTTTGGAGCCACAGTTTCCTTGGGTTGCCAGTCCCTTGAGAAATACAGCCATTTACTTCCACCCTCTGTGTACCACCCACGTTCTCCTGACTAGTGAACTTCTCAGAATGGTTTTGAGCTAATAGACCTCTAGCCCCCACGGACCCTAAGCTGAGCTCGCTCTCAGATAACATCTGAAACCTGTAAGAAGGACTGTAACAAGGACTTCCAGGCTGCTGTTGCCAAACGCACTGACTCTTGGGCCTGCAGCTGGGCGCAGGTGCCTGATGGGGAACTCACAGCAGGATAAAAACTCAAGCATCTCTCCCTCCATTTAGGGGAGGGGAGTACTGGGATGGACCCAGAGGCACCCTAGCTGTGAGCCACATCCCCAGTCCTTTTTATGTTTTATTTGAGAGTCTTTATAAGTTGCTGAGGCTGGTCTTGAACTTGCAAACTTTCTGCCTTGGCCTTCCAAGTAGCTGGGATTACAGGTGCGAGCCACCATACCTGGCTCTAATCCTGATAACCCCAGCCTAATTCCCTCTTAAGATTGGGAGCCACCTCGTCACAAAGGCATGAAAAGTTCATGTTGGCTTTACTATAAATTACTGCGATTATTCTAAACTTGCTTGGAATGCCTGCCCATGCCTTGAACTCACTCATTCCTGGCTTTCCCTGACCAGATAACAACCCTCTCTGAAACTCTAGTGGCGCCTCATAAATTCTGACGTCGGGACCTAAATTTACTCCCTAAGTGCTGAATCATTTAGACCATTAACCTACTACCTGCCTTTGTGTTATGCTTGTCAAAATCCTGTTATCTGTAGGTTCTCAAGACACCCCCCCACACACACTTTTTGCAATTTCCTGTGCTATAAAGCTGTGCTCCTAGTGAGCTGGGGTGCTGTCTTCTATTCACACGGGTTTCGGGAGAGACAGCCCCGGCCGGTCGGAATTACAAGCTTGCTTTAATTGGATTTAAATTGGAGTCGGTGGTCTTTGTCTCGTGGTTTAACAATCCCCATTTTGAATCTGTCCCTTTTGCTTTAAGACATTCTGTCCTGCCATCAGCTTAGATTCCACAACAACAGGTCAGATGGACAAATATCTCTACTGACCAGGCAACAGCCACCCTCCCCCCACCAACCCTGGGATAATAATCAACCAGGCCAGTTTTGAATTAACCCTTACTACTCGGCCACTGGGACTTAATTTTTAAATGGATGTGCTTCTTCCTCTTCCTCAGCTCCTCCCTAATCTCAGGGGAAACAGGGTTACCTTTCTTCCCCACCCTAGACAGAGTTATCTGTCCTGAGCACTCACCCACCACAGGAACAAGTAATCCAGACTTTGGAGATGGCACTAGAAGATCTCAGAAATGAGTATCTCCCAAATTAACGAGTGAATTACAACTTCAACGGGGAACACAAGGATGTACGCTTTAAATCACCTCTTTAAAAACCCCTGTTCCCTGGGAATTGCACAGAACTCCCCTGTGCTTCTCCTTGGCTGGTAAAGCAATAAAACTCCTTTTTCCTTTTTGTCAAAATCCTGTCCTCCTGACTGGATTGGCACTGGGGACACTGATCGAGGTTTTGTAACAGTTTTGAAGCCAGAATTAGACAGGCGGTATAGGTAGGTAAATCGAGTCAGGTCAGATCCAGTCAGGCCAATCTGAGTGAGTCCCAGCTAGTTGGAAACTGTCCCCTGAGGGATTGAGACGTTAACTCCTTCAGAGCCCTTCCTGCACCCTTATCCAGAACCTGTCCCTGCTCCAACCTGTTGCTAAGGTCACCTGTCCCAGGAATTGCCCCTCCCTACAGGGAGCTAGAAGGTTGTTAATGTGTCCTGGGCTGCTCCATCCTGCCCTTCCCCCTGCAGCCCACCTGTTCCCCACCTTTTGGGCATCCCACCGAGCACTCCTGGGCCTAGTCACTTACACAGGAAGGAGAAAGAGAAGAGGGAGAAGGCAGGAGAACAGAGGAAGCCTGGGACACAGAAAAGGGCAGAACACCTCCTTCTTGGGATACCAGGACACCAGCTGTGGCCCCTTCTGCCTCCAGGGAGAAGTCCATGTTACCCCTTTTTAAATAAACCCTGCTTTCTATGCCTGACTCGGCGTGCTTCTCTAATGTTCAAACTTCAACATTTGCGGGAGCAGAACTCGTAACCGTGACCGGCGGCATCAGTTTGACCAAGACTCCTTAACTGTGAGTACTCTGATCCCTGGTCTATGCTCCCCCCGCAAGACAGGACTGAGGATGTGGGTCTCCTTGTGTCTCTGGTGGGCTACACATTCCTTCCCTGTCTTTGCACTGATGGGCTCTTGGATTGGTCCTTCAGATGGGTGGCTGGATCTAGTCTGTTGAGATCCCCGAGCTGGGCCTTAACTCTAAAATTCTGGTCACAAGCTTTTCTGCTTTACTGTAGCCACCTACCTAATGTCCCCACCAGTGTTCATTAATACATTGATTTATCGTTTTCTTTGTGCTTTGGCTATGAAGGTTAATCTCTTTCATGGAGGAGCATGTCATTCAGGGTGACCCAAATCTGTGCTCCTGGGCCATGGCCACTAATATTTGACTCAAAATAAACTAATTTCTTATTTCCTGAAAGCAGAGTTTATCTTACATTGACAGTAGGACTGTTAGAACCCAAGGATCCTGATTCCAAGGCCAGTTTCCTTTTCCATATTCCACACAGCTTCTCTTCCACCATTAGCTCTTTCTGAAGCTCAGGATCAAAGTAAATTAAAAAGGTAAAGAGGTGTCAATAAAAAAACATCAAAGTTGAGTATCATTGGCTCAGGGCACTGAAAACGAGTCAGCAGGGCCTTGTTAGTCAGGTCTAAGACAAGTTGGACTGGAGCCACTGCTGACCTGCTGGACAGGGAGCCCTCCTTCCCTCCCCCCAACTATCAGGGACGGAATCCACACCAACCTTACCTTCTGCCAGCACCAGTCATTCCTGACCGACCAGTGATGTAATGACCAGGCCTCTCTTGTGCTTTTAAACTCTAAAGATAGCCACCATTTTGTAAAACCCTAGAGCACATTGTTAAGACTTCGAGGATCTATTTTTTCTCAGATTGCAATCCTAATTAGCCCCACAAAAATGCAGTCCTCTTTATTCTCAACTAGGTTGATTTTATTCTTGCTCAAGAGAACATAATCCTCAAAATACATCACCACAGGAAAACTCAGTAGACAGGACGCTTCGGTCTTCCATAGCGTAAAACTTCTTTATTAGACAATCTAATAGAAGCTTTTCATTCCTCACTGAAGCCTCTGCAATACACAGTCCATGGGCTCTTCCTCCTTTCTGGGTCTATGGAGGAAGAACGTGCCACCCCAGAATGCTTGCCAAGGGTCAAGTCTTACGTAGGAGTTCAGGGACTCCAAAATGGCAGAGCAGGGTAACAGAAGGATGCCATTGGAGGCAAAGACAGGGAGACCAGTCGTGTCCTTCTTCACAGTGTCCCATTACCATGACAACTCCCACTGCAGGTGCAGTATTTTAAAATGACCAGTGGGTAAATTGGACAGTATTCTAATTAGGCTTCCTAAAGTAGCCAACGGAGAGGAAGTTGAAATCGGTTTCCTAATCAGGGATCTCAGGTAACCAATGGGGCAAATGGGTAATCTGGCTTTTCCTTGTTTCCACTCCCTGTGTAAGGGCAGGCTGTCTGCAAAGCTTTTTCCTACCTGATTGGGTTGCCCAAACTGGAACACAACTGCCATGTCTTCTTAGAACCACAATCTTATAAACTCTCTGCACAGGAGGAAGACTCAAGAAGGTTGGATGAGGGGCCTGTCCCAGGCTCCACCCACCTCTGTTAGCAGAGGTGACTGAGGCTAAGGGCCTGCCTTTTATCCTGCCCATTGTGGTATCAGAGAAGCTAACTTCCCCTGAAGAATAAACAAGATCCTGTTTTTCAACAGATTGCCCAACCATCCTGAGGAGCATCCGCAGAGACCCACATTTGACCTACAGTAACCCAATAAGGGAAAGCTGGAGTCTAAGACCTCATACTCATTACTTGCCTCTCATGAACCCAGAGTCAAACCAGAAATAAGCATTTGGACATGCACACTAAGCATAATGGGCAAGGCACAGCAGTCTTCGAGTCGCTCCTTGCTTGCCCTAAACCACTCCTAGCAAAGTGCCCACCAAAGGGAATGAAAAACTCAGGAGTGCATGTGAGCCCAGACCCCCTCTGACCTGTCCCTGCTGTGCTTCCCCAGTGATCCTCCTCCAAATAACCTCTCTGAAGGCCGGTCCTTGTCTCTGTGAATTCTTCTCACTGCCCACACACTGGCCATCAGACTGAAATTCAAATATCACCTCTAGAACCCAGAGGAACTGGGCCACTGTCAGTTCTTCTGGGCCCATTTATCCACCCTAAAAAATAATTCACTATCCGCTCCCCCAAATTTCCTATTTGCCTGCCTCCCTGTCCCCATGAAAAGGCCTGTGTTTCAGCCTCATATTTTGTGTCTGGCTTCTGTTTCTTTGTTAATGAATTTGTTGTTCATTTTTTTTCTGTTATTTATTGTCAGCTTTATTTCAAAGAACGGCATTGTCCAAACTTTCCAGGGAAAGTCCAAATTCCCTGCGGTGGAAGTGCTGAGCAGAGTCCCTGGCTTCTGCAAGCCTCAGCGAGTTCCATTGTCACTACGACATCACTCGTTGCTCTCCAGACCCATTTTAGCGGGTGCACTGGATGCCAGTGTCACCTCCTCTAGAAAGACTGGGCTCCCACAGCAGCCTCGCAGCACTGACAGATTCTATCCAGCCCGACAGCACAGCGGCCCGCCTCCTCTCCTGGACTGCGGCGCCGCCGAGGGGGCGACAAGGTCTCCCTCATCTTTTACGGCCAGTACCCAGCACTGCTGCTGGCACACGGCAGCTGCTCAGAGCCAAGCCTGGAGGAAACAGCAAACTCTAAAAGCTGAGCTGCCGTACTCTACCGCGTGTCAGCACAGTCCTTCCAGTTGGGATTACCTGTCCTGGGAGCAGCGGTAGGAGATACGGGTGGCCCCGGAGTGGACCCAGGAGGGACAGCACTACTGGGGACGGTTGGGATGCTGCACTCTGCGCTCTGCGGGGTGGCTGTGGGAGCAGAGCTTTCCTCCAGGGCGGCTGGCCTGAACCCCAGGCTGGCAGAAGGACTCTGGGAAGGCTTTAGCACCTGCGAGATCATTCAAAAAAAAAAAAAAAAGTTCTGATAAACCAGCGAACTCCTCAAGCAACGCAATGTCACCAACTTTCATTTCTGTTACAGAAGCACCGCAAAGGGGCAGAGGGTTTGTTCTCTGAAAGGCTCCGCGAGACAGTCACTTTTTCTGCTCCAGGTCAGGCAGGTGCCTCGAGAGGGGCCCGGCGACGCGCGCAGCCTGCCCCGCGCACACCCACCTCTCGCCCCGCGCACACCCACCTCGCGCCCGGCGCAGCGCCCTTCGCACACCCACCTCGCGCCCCGAGCACACCCACCTCGCGCCCCGCGCAGCGCCCCTAGCACACCCACCTCGCGCCCCGAGCCGCCGCGGGCTCGCAGAGAAGCCGCCCCCTTCCCCAGCGCCCGGCCGGGAGGGGGCGTGGCGGCCGAGGGAGGCGGATCGCCGCTGTCCGGGCTGTGCTCGGGGGACGCGGAGCCGGCAGAGTCCTTCCGCGAGGGGCGCTCCGGGTCCCGCGGCTTCTCCGAGGACGCCGCGGGGCTGTGGCCGTCGCCTCCGGGCTGCAGGCTCCAGGCCGCGGGCTCGGCGCTCCCGCTGGGGCCTTGCTTGGGGCTGGGCTGCAGGAGACTGGGCTCCATCTCCCCGTCGTCATCGGAGGGCTCAGCCATCCCCGCCATCCCCTCCATGCCCCGGCCTTGGCCTTGGCCTCCAAGGGGCAAGTCCTCCCTGGTACCCTCGGCCGGGTCCCCCCAGGCCCCCGCGGCGGCGGCCCTGCTCAGCATCCTCTCCCCGTAGTCCAGCAGCGGCGCGGGCCTCCCCTCGGGCCTGAGCACAAACACGAGGTACGACCTGAGCGGGCCAGTCTTCTGGGGCGCACAGTTCTCCTCCTGCGGGCAGCTCACCAGGAAGCAGCGGCCCTCGAACCACCAGGCCAGGTCGCAGCTGGGCAGGTCGCAGCACGCGGCCGTGCAGGCCCCCAGGGAGAAGGTCTGAGGCACTGGCACGATTCTGACGGTTTCCAGGTTGGCCGGAATGACGGCGTTGGGGTAGGTCCTCCCCTGGCTGCACTGCTGGCAGGCACCACCTGCAGGAGGCAGTGCACAGTGAGGACAGAGGCGCCCTGCAGGCATGCCGCTCTGGAAGCGGGACTCCCCGTCTCCTAGAAAGACCACTGCAACATGACAGTCCATCCACCAAGCTAGCTACCTTCCCCCACGTATCCGTCTTCCACTCACCCACCCATCCACCCCTCGTCCTTCCACCTTCCGTCCGCAGGCCCTTCCCCCTATCCACACACCACGCAGTCTTCCAGCGCCTCACGACTCCATGCCCTTCAGTGAGCAGAAACCTTCTCCACGTGCATATCGTTTTACATCATTCACAATACTTTGCTCTTCACGTAAAATTAAGTCACACAGGTTTACTTCTGGGAACAGCATCATATCTTTGGGGTTTGGGTTGCAGTTGGCAATTGATTTTTTCTTTTTTTAATTTCACAGGTTATTCTGATGACAGATCAGTCAACAGAGAAATATCCAAGATTGAGAAAAGGTTGTTCTCTGTACATATCTAGAACCAAGTAGTCTTAATCAGATTCTCAATAACCAGAAGAAGGCAGTAACCACCGCAGGCGATGACACTACTGAAGTGGTCTACTATAACTCACTCCCACCAACTCCATGTCAGACCAGCTTTGAGAAGCTTCTATAGAAAGGTGTCATTGCCTGAAATTCAAGGGCAAAATCACTTCCCTTGTATTCTTAATTGTTTGGTATTTTACAGAAAAATCAGTCCATGACAGATTGGACACAAACTGGCCTTGCCACATACAATTTTAAAAGCATTGTATTAAAAGTTTTGCTGCAGAACTCAGAATGACAAGGGATTTCCTCCCTAGTTAGGTTCATCACTAATGATTCTTTAAATAACTGAGTTTTTGTTTTTTTTCATATGAAGGAATGTCAGAGGTTGTTCTAACTGGAAATAGTGTAAAAGGCTATACACAGCCTAGGAATTATTTTTATGTTTCCTTGCATACACCATAAGTTTTAAAATAACCCAAAGCCAAACCTTGACTCTATGAAAATACTATTTAGTCCTATTTGTTTATTTGTTGGCACTGGAGATGGAACCCAGGGCCTTGCCCCTGAGTTACACCTCCATTCCTGTTTAGTCTAATTTAATACGAATTAGGTATCCTAGATGTGTTTCTTCTCCAGTGCATAAGATAGCAACACACTAAAATGAAGTGGCACTTCTCAAACATAAGTCTACTCTTTAAAATCATCCAAATAGTTTTGTCCTTTTATTTTCTAGAAAAGAGCTTCATCTGTGATATGGAGAAAGTAGTGATATACTCCAGCTGAGTATCACAAAATAGCATCTCATCAAGATCAAAGATGATGAGAGGTGAAGAATAGAGAGAATCTCCCACTCCCAACTCCACTCTCAAAACCATTGTGTTTAGAGGTATCACTGCATCTCTGAGTGGCCTTTAAATGAAGACCCAAGCTAGACCCATTATTTCACACATGAATGCCAAGATATGCTTTAGTTTCCTTGAGAAATAGTTGGGTCATCTCCTTTGGACAAAGTGATTCAGAGAAAAATCATGTTCATTTCTGGCCTTGGCTCCCAGAAAGCTCAAGAGCCAAATTTTAAACTACGTCACAGGAACCACCACATAAGGAAAGCTGTGACCTTGGAGCACACATAGTTATAGGGGTGAAGAGAACTTCCTGTGGAAGACGTCTTCAACACAAGCTTAGCCAGTTTCAACTGGGCGGGAGGAGGCCACGGGGCAGACCATTCCTATGTTCTGCAAAACTTAAGCAGAGACATTACTGCTAAATAAGGAAATCAGGAAGGTGGCTGCTGACAACAAAATCATTTTTGCTTTGTCCAAGTTTCATAATCACTTTACCATCTTTACAGCACACTTGACTGAAGGAGCACCAAATTCCTGGAACCAAGGAACTGTCAGTAATTGTATGCTCTTAAATCCTAACCCAATCCATGAACATTGTAGGCATTTTATTGTCGACAATCAAATCACTGGTTAGCATTTAACAAAGGCAAATTGCAGATAACATTATTGGGACTCAGTAACTTAGGAACTGAATTTGTGAACTAGTGGACAGTACCTCAAAAGAAAATGGCAGACAGAGCCAGCATCTCACTAAAACCTATTTGGTCTTAATTATATAGAACCCTACAATCATTAATTTCATTAATTTAGTTGTCATCTCAAAAAAAGAACAAAAAGGAATGGGAAAATGTTCCTTTGTGTTTTAAAAATGGATGTCTACACATTAATATTAACGAAGGTATTTTTCAGAGCATGTTTAACATTCTATCTTGCACACTAGCGGTGACAGGAGTAGATGGGGGTGGTAAACTAGCATGATGGGCAGAACTTTCTAAAGTGGCCCTTGCATCATCTAAAATAGTGCTTCCCAAAATTTAGGTCTTCTGAACCACCGCCAGGTGCTAGCTGAAACCCCAGATCTCTGAGCCATGCCCTAGGAGTTCTGACTCAGCAGACCTGGAGTGCAGGCCCCAGGACAAGGGTCTCAGGCTATCCTCACCATGGCCTCACGATGGTTGACGAAGTCTGTAAATGAACAGTGTTAGAGTCTGTAAACAAGTCAGGATGGCGCCTGGCATTTTGCCAGGGGAATGTTAGAGTTCGTAGACAAGTCTGGATGGTGCCTGGCAAAATGCCAGAGGGAGTGGTTTGAGAAGTAACAAAAGCGAGCCATTAAGTGTGGAGATTCCTGATTGGTTGACTGATGTATCGAGTTTATGCTAATTAGATAAGCTGTGTGGAATGTATAAATACTGCTCCTGTCCTGCAATAAACGGCTTCCACTCCTGCTGTATCAATCTACACAAGTTTTTTCGTCACCCCCCTTAGTTTGCTGCAGCCGGACTGCGGCAGAAGTTTTCCCAGTGTATCTCCATCCTCAACCCCTGGTGCCCTCTCCCTGGTTCGGCTGGTGTCCTGGGCCATCAGAGCTGAGACTCTCCAATGATTTTATGGTGCAAGTGCATCCACTATAAGCAAACTGAGTATAATTAAAATAAAGACCTATGAGAAAAAAAGAGTCTGATACTTCCAGAAATACCTATGATGTAAGTCTTGTAATTCTACAAATACAAATTTTTCCTAAGATATATTAAATGTGATTTTATTTTCCCACCAAATAGTCATGAGAATAAGAAATTTAAACTCCAGTTTCTATAAAATCAGGGATGCAAGCTGGTAGTGTGCTTGCCTGGCATGCCCAAGAAAAAGAAATCCCTTCAGAAAACCACTTATGCATAAGGTCTGCTTTTTACACAAAAACCAAATCTACTGGAAAGCAAAAACACCGCACCTTGGTGTTGAGTGGACCTGAGTTACTTAGACAAGGCCCAGTGGCACAAGCTCCCAGCCCTGGTCTCCTACCTGCCAGGGTCACCACCAGCAGCAGTGAAGCCAGTGAAACTGCAGGGGGCGCCATCCCGCAGCTCGCAGAGGGTGATGGCAGCCTTCAGAGGCAGCAACTCGGGTACAGCCAGATTGGCCTCTAGGTCTTCAAAGGGAAAACAGAAAAGAGACAGGAAGGAAGAACAGAGTAGGTAAGTGTGCAAACAACAAAGCTGGCGCAAACTCCCTCAGAGTCACATTCCAGGCAGCCATCTGTCCAGAGGGGCTGGTTCAAAGAGTGAGTACAGTTCCAAGAAGCCTGCCTCAGTGGGCTGTGGAAATAGCAAAAACCCACCAAAGGAGAAGAGCAAAGCAATGAACTCAGACTTGTACGGCAAAGGACCCGGCCACCATCAAAGGACCTTGGCACACACTGAATGCAGACGGGGGACCGGGAAGGTTTTAAGGTGCAAAAGGGGAACAGCTTCAGTGTGCACTGCCTGGCAGCTGCTGGCATGACGTGCAAAAACAGCACACAGCTACCTAGAAGTGTGGCATCCCATGTGATGGAGCAGGGAACATGGGTGGCTTTCTCAGGTCGGTCCTGAGTTGGAAGAAGACATAAAAAACAGGGAAGCTGTCAGTCACCGATGGAGTCCTGGCCATGTAGGATTAATTGTTGCAGAAGTTATTGTTTAGCTTCCTGAATTATTAGAGATAGCACTCTGGCTTCCTACAAGTCTTGCTGATAGCAGGCCGCTTCCTGGGTGGCCGGTTTGTTGAGTTTATTGCTGCAGGTTATGGCTCAAGGTCCTACTTTTAGATATGGTCTGGCCGTTTTCCACTTGTGTATTCAGTATCTCACAGCCCAGACCCGTGAGATGATGACACAAATCATACTGCTCCATTTCTTCAATTCTAGCATGTAAATACTTTCTCATTTTGCCACCTCTGACCTCAGATGTCTTACAGCTGCAGTTGGCCAAGGGACAGGCAGGATTACATGCTGTGGCTTGTGTGTGAACGTGAACCATGCAGCATGGGTGTCTGAGGCTTGGAAGAACATCTCCAAAACCACACGAAGGGGCTGGAGGTGTAGCTCAGTACAAGTTCTTAGCAAGTTCACAGCCCCGGGTTCCATTCCCAGCTGCAGCAACAACAGCAGCAAAAGTGGAGCACTCTTACACAGCGCTGTGCCCGCCCGAGCTCCTGCCAGCACCAAGCAGCTCCGTGTGGCCGGCCATAGAAACTGAGGTGGGACAGAAGAAGTGAAAGATGGGTAGGAAGGGAGCAAAAGAAGTTAAGGAAATAAGATTTTAACGTGGAGGTCTGCATGCCTTCCCAGCCTCGGTCTCCCTAAGCCAGTTCCTCCCAGGCCTCTCATTCTCTGTGAACCTTGGAGGTAGTGGAGATTCACCCACCTACACAAATCACCTCGTGCACAGGTGATACAGACTAAGCAAGGACAGGATTTTTTAAGAAAATCCTTCCAGTGTTATCTACTACTGGGTTAAACACTGACAGGTACCTAGGAAAGCTTGCCAGGAGATAAGAAGATCCTAGAGAATGTGGTAACAAAGAGAATGGACTCAGGTGGCTGGCCACCTCCCTTTTCCCCAGTCTAGGAGAGGAGTTGAACAGACTGACCCTGGTCGTAAAGTAAGGAGTGTGCTCGTGGAACATCTGCGGCAAGCCACCTGTCAGGGCCTGCGGCCTCTCCGGTGCAGCCCCCGCCAGTAGGCACGGTGAGGCCTCCACTGAACCCCGCTGCCACTGCCAAGGACTGAGTAATAAAATGCCCAACCCTCTCCGCTGAGTCCTCCAAGCTCTTCTCTGGGATGGGTAAACAAGGGCATCTGCGGCCCTGGGGATGGACACCTACCCCTCAGGTAATGGAGACCAGCCTGAGGATCCAGAGAATAGACACCATGAACCACCTTGACCATCAGACCCAGGCCAGCTCCGGGCACCTCCTCACCCGAGCCCTGTCTCCAAGTGTCCTTTAAAAGAAAAACCTGAGAATCCCCAGCCATCTGCCACTCTTCACATGGTCCACGTTCTCCCTTCCATGTGTGTTCCTTGCTTTCCTAAATGAATTTCTGTGTCTCTGAGGCATCCTTGAATTCATTTCTGCAACATTTGTTAAGAACTCCACTCCTTATGATTGAGGTCCCCCTTTGGAACTCCTTGGACTTCTTCCAGTAACTGAACTGATAAGATGTCTGGCAGAAATTAAGAATGCGTGTACACACACACACTTTTTTTCTTTGAGATGGAATCCGGGTGGACCTCAAACTGCTGAGCTCAAGCAATTCTCCTCCCTCAACCTGCCCCCTGGCCAGGACTACAGGCACACACCACCAGGCCTAGCTAGGAACATCTATTCACACTGGGGACTGAATGATTCATACTGGGGATTGAACTCAGGGGTGCTTTACCTCTGAGCTAGATCCTCAGTCCTTTTTAATTTTTGAGACAGGGTCTTGCTAAGTTGCTGAGACTGGCCTTGAACTTGCCATTCTCCTGCCCCAGCCACCTGAGTTGCTGGGATTACAGGCATGTGCTACTATACCAGAATATTTTAATTTATGTCATTTACATCTTCTTTTATACATGCGTGTTGTGAGCCACCCAAGGGCTGTGTCTGTGAGCTATGCGTATGTGAGTATATGAGGGGACTGGCCTGGTGGTACTGCCTGATTGGGCTGTGTGACATATGTGTGCCCTTTCTCTCGTTCTGCCTGTGATCCCACACAGCACCTGAGATGGGTGCGGCTTTCCAAGATATCGGTCAATCTGCTGACCACAAGACACCACCAAGCGAGAATCCACCCTTCGAAACCCAATCCCTTGCCTTATTTGGGTAGAACTTTCTCAAATGACTTTCCCCTAAATAAAAACAGGGGTTTGGGGTGTGCTTCCTCTCTTGTTCCTTCCAGCACTGGAGCTGACCCTTGGGGTCACCGAGCTGTCCTGCCTTAGAAACTTACGCTATGGGCTCTGTGGTTTCTTCTTCGTGTTTCATAGTTATTGATACAGCCAGCTCCTTTGAACCCAGCCTGGCCAGCTGGTGATACATGTGCACAAAAATGATTTATGATAAAAATGTTTCTAAGTATACCCTCCTGTCATTCTGTTGATATAGATATTCTAAAGAAAAAGAAATGTGTCCTGGTTTGACAGTGTTTTTGCCTCCTTAGGGTTATTTCTTCTTCTCCTTTGCTGCCTTCTTTTTTTGGGGGATGGGTGTTTGCAGGGATTGAACTCAGGGGTGCTTAACCACTGGCCACACCCTGCCCTTTTTATTTTGTATTTTGAGACAGGATCTGGCTAAATGCCATACTTAGCATCCTCTTTTTGCCTGGCACCTTTCTCAGTTTGATCTTCACAACTCATAGGATGATTATCTTAAGCTAATGGCGGGCTGGGGATGTGGCTCAAGCAGTAGCGCGCTCGCCTGGCATGCGTGCGGCCCGGGTTCGATCCTTGGCACCACATACAAAGATGTGTCCGCTGAAAAACTAAAAAATAATAAAATTCTCTCCCTCAAAAAAAAAAAAAGTAAGTTAATGGGCCTCCCAGTGTGGGGAGGCTAGAGTCCATTCTCTGGAGTCCTGGGGACTCTGAGTACTTGCTAGGATCTCAGAATGAAACGCACAAGCTTGAATCCTAGAGATCTAGAGAGAAGTTTCCAAACGCGTGTGTCTGGAACCTGCTGGGAGGTCAAGCTGCTGCTCAGGTAAACCGGGTCTTGGTTCTGGTTCACCTGGGTCTCTCCCCACTCACCCCTCAGTCCCCTCTCCAGCCCCAGGTGTGCACAGAGGACAAGTCTCCTCACCCCTGTTTCTAGAAGCATCTCAGTACTCCTGAGAACTCCCAGGTGCCCTGTTGGAGGAGGAGCAGTGGGAAAAACCACAGAGGTCTCCCCATTGGTCATGCAGTCAGCTGGTGGCCAGGCAGGAGGCAGCCAGACAGGGCGAGGCCCTCACAGACACGCAGCATGGCCGCCTCTGGCAGAGGGTGTTTGGAGCTGCTGCACCTTTGCTTTAGGGTTTTCATCAAGAAGCAAAGCATGGGCATGTCCCCTGGGCCGGAATCTGGCCATTGACCACGCGAAGCGCAGCTGCCCAACTACGGCCACACTGGCCAGTGCCTGGGGAACAGAAGGGGCTCTGTGGGGCTTCAATCATGGAGCTGAGCCAGGCAAGAGGCCAGGAGGGAGCAACCACAGGTGACCTCAGTCAGCTCGGGAGGAAGGCCCCAGGCTCCCTGCCAGGGTAGTTGAGGCCCCTGGAGCAGCGGCTCTGAGAAGGTAAAGCAAGGGTGTGAAGAGTGAGGTTCACGCCCCAACCCAGGAGAGCTCCCGGCAGCAGGATCTGCCACCAGCTGCTTCCCTTCCTTCCAGAGAGAGAAGGGTGGTTTGAGATGGGAAGGGGACAGAAGGGGAGATGGCCGTTAACCAAGACACAGAGTCACCGGCCTGTGCTGGGGATCAGACCCAGGGCCCTGCACAGGGGAACAGGCACTCTACCCCTGAGCTGCCCGCCAGCCAGAATGAGATTTATCCAGTGGCCCACAGTGCTGGGCTTATGAGGGCAACGCTGCCACCAGCCACAGGGGTGGTCGCCTAGGAAGGACCACACATTACCTTCAGCCAGATTAAGAAAGCGCCCCTGGGGCAGATGGACCGGGAGGCACACAGCACGGCCAAATGGGCTGTGGCCACATCTCCAGCACCACCGCCTGTGAGGGTCGCCTGGTGTTTAGGACCAACTCCACAACCACACTGCACCTGGAGGACAGCCTGTCTACGCCCCCTCCTGCAAACTGTCAGGCTCAGCGGCAGAAGCTCCCACCCAGGACCAGGTCCAAGGCTCCCCAGGCCGGCCAACGTGGCTCTAGACTTGCTCTCATCAGAGGGCACAAGTACTACCTGCTATGAAAGGTCCCGTCACTAGGCTGGCAGCAATTAATCAAAGGTTTCAGAATGGCCAGCAGACAGAATTTTAAATGTCCCAACACAAAGGAATGATAAAACCTAATCCCATCATTACGCATTGTGTATATATATATCAAAATGTCATGTCAGGTGCTGTGGTGCACGCCTGTAATCTCTGTGGTTCAGGAGGCTGAGGCAGGAGGATCGTGAGTTCAAAGTCAGCCTCAGCAAAAGTGAAGTAACTAAGCAACTTAGTGAGACCCTGTCTCTAAATAAAATATAAAATAGGGCTGGGATGTGGCTCAGTGGTCAAGTGTCCCTAAGTTCAATCCCCAGTACAAAAAAAAAAAAAAAAGTCATGCCATATCCCATAAATATGCACAATTATTATGTGTGATTTAAATATAAAAAAATACACATTAAAAATCCTTTTAACATGAATAGTTTACAGATTTTACTTTTTTTTGGTGGCGTTGGGAA